TAAAGCACTGACATTTAGTGAGTTCCCCCTCAATAGAATGCCATCCTGCACTGAGGTTCACCAGTGTTCAAGCTTTATGTAGCTTCTGATTTTGTGTGATGCCTCACACTTCTTGAACAATAGTTTGAAGATCACTCTACTTGAGAGACCAAAACAAATGTGAAAAAACACTCGGAAGAGACAGTGCTGAGAACAGAAGAAAATTTAAAGTGATTTATAGAGACATAGGAGATACTGCACCAGTGAAACAGGAATAGGAGACTGTAAAATGGATTATTCAGAGTAAAAGGAATTAAAATTTTGATTCATATATTAAAAAATCTAGTAAAAGTGATCACTCAGAGTAGAATGAGTCATAGGGATGGGGGAAAAATGTAGGAAAAGGTAAGAAAAGTAGAGGATCAGTCCAGGAGGTCCAATGACTGAGTAATGTGAGTTCAACAAAGATAAAAGAGAAAACCAAGGGAAGAAAATTATTACATAAATGATAAATATGGAATATAAGAATTGAATGATGTAAATATCTAGAGTAAAATAGGCCTTCTGAATGAATGCCAGCAGAATGAGGAGAAAAGACTTACCTTAAGGCTCATCATTTTGGAATTTCAGAACACCTGGATTAAAAGCTACCATGGAGAAAAAACAGGTCTCAAATAGAGGAGTTTTCTCAATAGCAGTACCCTAGGGGTGCCGGGGTGACATAGTCAGTTAAGCGTCCAACTCTTGGTTTCATCTCAGGTTGTGATCTTGGGGTTGTGGGATTGAGCCCTGCGTTGGGCTCTGCATTCAGGGTGAAGTCGGCTTGGGACTCTCTCTTCTTGCCTCTCTCCCTCTCCTTCTGCCCCTCCCCTCTGTGCTAGTGCACAAGCTCTCTCTCAAATGAATAGATCTTCAAAAAAAAAAAAAAAAGGCAACACCCCATGTTAGGAAACAATGAAAAGATTTCTTCAAAACTTTTTTTTTTTTTTTTAAGTAATCTGAATGCTTATAACATAGGGCTCAAACTCACCACCCTGGGATCAGGAGTCTTGTAAGAACAAAAAATGTCTAAAATTGAAAAATCAAGAAATGAGGTAGACCTCCAGATAAACTCTGTTGTGTGCTGGTTTTATGGAGTGAAAGTCAACAGCTTTTTTCTTCCTTTTAAAACTTCTGCAAAAATTCTTTTGTCGGGACGCCTGGGTGGCTCAGTCGGTTAAGCGGCTGCCTTTGGCTCAGGTCATGATCCTGGGGTCCTGGGATCGAGCCCCACGTCCGGCTCCCTGCTCAGCGGAGAGCCTGCTTCTCCCTCTCCCTCTGCCTGCCACTCTGCCTACTTGTGCTCTCTTTATCTCTCTGTCAAATAAATAAATAAAATCTTTAAAAAAATTCTTTTGTCTTTTCATTTTTTTATTTTTATTTTAAAAAGATTTTATTTATTTGACAGAGAGAGAGATAGAGTTGGAATACAAGCAGGGAGCCCGACGAGGGGCTTGATCCCAGGACCCTGGGATCACGACCCAAGCCGAGGGCAGACGTTTAACGACTGAGCCACCCAGGCACCCTCCTCAGTTATTTTAAAGTATAACATCAGGATTGGAAAATGCTATTTGAGGAATTTGTTGTTTGCAGTGATACTTTGATTTATGTGAATTTATAGACTTCCACATGCTTTTATCTCATCTGATGTTCTCAACAGCCCTATGCAAATACTGTTAGTCCCTAATTTAGAAGTGAGGAAAGTAAGACTGATGTAGGATCACATGCTATTAAGGGAGAGAACTTAGACTCACTCCCCTTACCCCTTGTTCATTCTAATATTTACTGTACTATATCTCATGATGAAAGAAGGATTTGGATGGGCACCGGGGAGGCTCAGTTGGTTAAGCGTCTGCCTTCGGCCCAGGTCATGATCCCAGGGTTCTGGGATCGAGCCCCATGTTGGGCTCCCTGCCCATCGGGGAGCTTCTCTCTCTTCTCCCCATTTGTGCTCTCTCTTGCTATCTCTGTCTCTCTCAAATAAATAAAATCTTAAAAAAAAAAGGATTTGGAAATTCTAATTCCTAGTCTTTTGTACTTTATATTTCCTAATTTACTTATAATTAAGCTGTTGTCTTTTTTGTGTGTGTGATAAAAGCCACATAACATAAAATTTACCTTAACTGTTTTAAGTGTATAGTTCAGTAGTGTTAAATATTCACGTGGTTGTTAACAGATTACCAGAACTTTTCATTTTACAAATCTGAAACTGTACTTATTAAACAACTCCCCTTTTCTCCCTCACTACATTCCCTGGTAACTGCATTCTATTTTGTTTCTATGAATTTGATTACTCTAGATACCTCATATAAGTAGAATCATACAGTGTCTTTTTTTGTGACTGGCTTACTTCACCTAGCATAATGTCCTCAAGGTTCATCCATATAGAATATGACAGGATTTCTTTCATTTTAAAGGCTAAAGAGGGGCGCCTGGATGGCTCAGTTGGTTAAGCATCAGACTCTTGATTTAGGCTCGGGTTGTGATCTCGGGATTGAGAGATTGAGTCTTGCTTCGGCTCTGTGCTGGGTGTGGAGACTGCTTAAGAGTCTCTCTCTGCCCCTCCCCTCTTGCTTGCTTGGGCGCTCTCTCTCACTCTTTTTCCCTCTCTAAAAAAAACAGCCTAAAGGCTGAATAATATTTCATTGTATATACTACATTTTGTTTATTCATCTGTCAGTGGACATTTGAGTTGCTTGCTCCTTTTGGCTGTTGTGGATTGTGCTGCTGTGAATGTGGGCATGCATGTAGCTCTTTGAGTCCCTGCTTTTTTTTTTTTTTTTAAAGATTTTATTTATTTATTTGAGAGAGAGAGAATGAGAGATAGATAGCACGAGAGGGAAGAGGGTCAAAGGGAGAAGCAGACTCCCTGCTGAGCAGGGAGCCCGATGTGGGGCTCGATCCCGGGACTCCAAGATCATGACCTGAGCCGAAGGCAGTCGCTTAACCAACTGAGCCACCCAGGCGCCCTGAGTCCCTGCTTTTAGTTAACTTGGATATATACCAAGTGGGATTCTTTGGTCATATATAGTAGTTCTGTTTTTAATTTTATCACAAACCCCCATACTGTTTTCTGTAGCAGTTGCATCATTTTACAATCCTACCAACAGTGTACAAGGATTCCAGTTTTTCATCCTTGCCAAGACTTTTCTGTTTTTTTTTTTAATAGTAGCTACCATAATGGTTGTGATGAGATACCTCATTGTGATTTTGATTTGTGTTTTTCTGATGATTAGTGATGTTGAGTATCTGTTCATATGCTTGTTGGCCATTTGTATATCATCTTTGGAGAGATTCTATTGAAGTCCTTTACCCATTTTTAAATCAGATTACTTTTTTGTTTCTGAATTGTAGTTCTTTATATATCCTGGATATTAACCCATAATTGGATATAAGATTTACAGATATTTCCTCCTATCCTTATGTTGTCTTTTCACTCTGTTGATTGTGTTCTCTGATGCACAAACGTTTTAAACTTTGAGATAGCCCATTTGTCTGTTTTTACTTTTGTTCCCGTTGTTTTTGGTGTTATTTCCAGGAAATCATTGCCAACTCCAGTATCATGAAGATTTCCTGTATGTTTTCTTCTAGAAATTTTATATTTTTACATTTTACATTCAGGCTTTTAATTCATTTTGAGTTAATTTTTGTATGGGGTATAAGGTAAAGCTCCAACTTCATTCTTTTGCATGTGAATATCCAGTTTTCCAGCACCTTTTGTTAAACTGACTACCCTTTCTTTGTTGAATGATGTTGGTACCCTTGTTGAAAATCATTTAATTATATATGCAAAAGTTTATTTCTGGGCTCTTTGTTCTGTTCTGTTGGTTTGGTTGTCTTTATGCGAAAACCACAATTGTCTCCTTCCTTTTGATATTTTTTGCCCCTTTGCTGTTTTATGTTGCTAATTGGAAGTTATTGATTGTTGTCACGAATAAAGTGGGACTAGTTAACTGCCACATTATGAAGAATATGTTGGAATAACTTATTAAAAAAATAACTTTAGTGTATTCTTTTGGCTCTGTGATTTTTGGAGTAATCAGAAAAATGATCTCCCTAAGGGTAAGGATAATGTTCTTAATTCTTTTTACAGCATTTTAATTGCAGGGTGTGGAGTAATTGATAATCTCTGAAGATGCAGGGGTGTGGTAAATTTGCTGATTGCAGAAGAAACCATTATGTCCCACTTAAATATGCAATTAGAATAAGGCTGGTGGTAATGACTCAGAATGTATCAACCAACATTTTGTTTGTTTGACAGTGGCTTTGAAATCAAAAGACAGAAACCAATGACAAATTTGCATATGGAAAATTAATCTTCAAATGTGTCTTTTCTTTAACGGAAGGGGAAAAAGAGAAAAATAAATTGAGAACTTCTTTGCCTTTTTCTAGGGCCTCAAATGGCTCAAACTGGGAAAAGCTAATGGGAAGGAAACATTTTTTTCTGATAGTCTAATACTTTGGATTCTCTTTTACTGTGTACCAACTATGTTTGCTTCTTGTATTATCTCTTGTCAGATGCCTCTGTAGATTTACTTCTATCATTTCCTCTCAAATTCGTCTGGCTATACCCTGCCTTCTCTGCTGCTCACCCTTCCTCTTCCTCAATGTAAAACCTGTTCATTCTGGTTGGTTTCTCTTCTTCGAATCAATTCTAATTTCTACTTGTTTGTTGTCTACTGTCAAGAAGGATTTTTCTATCAAGTCAAGTGGGCTTTTCTAGGAAGATGGTAAGAGGGGATATTGGATAGGCAACTGAAAGTGTCTTGCTACATGGCTAATGCAATTTTTCTAGAGATAAAACTTCAACATTTTCCCAGATTTAACATACATGTATTCTTTGATTAAGTGGTTTCATTGTTTAGAGATCAAGAATGAAATTAATAAATTCCTTTAATAGCTAATTGGGGCTTTTAAAAGGTGGTTTTGATGATGCCAAATAAACATTTGGAAGATGTTCCTCTTTATTTGTGTTTCCACAGATCATTAACTGAAGACAAAATAAACAACTATGCAAAATTCTCACATGGATGAGTACAGAAATTCTAGTAATGGCAGCACAGGCAACAGTTCAGAGGTAGTGGTAGAACAGTCTGCTGATTTCAGTACTGAGATTATGAATGTTACGGAAATGGAACAGTCCCCTGATGGATCTCCTAATGTGAATGCAACTACAGAAGAAAATGAAATAACAAATGCTGTGGACCTTCCAGTGACAGAAACAGAAGCAAATTTCCCTCCAGAATATGAAAAGTTCTGGAAAACTGTAGAAAACAATCCTCAGGATTTTACAGGCTGGGTATATTTGCTTCAGTATGTAGAACAGGAGGTTAGTAACTATTTTAAATGGAACTAGAAGGGACAGATTAAACAAGTAATATCAGAGGAGGTTTACTGTTTTGTAATTAAAGTTGCCTCTTTTATAATTTTCAGATTAAGTTGAATAACATTAGATGTGTACATTTTTTAGCTTTAAAAATAACTTTTATAACGTATGTATTTGTCAATATTAGTACAAAGTCTAATATTTGTAGTAATTGATGTGTGTGTGTACGTGTGTGTATAATCACTGAAATAAAGTTACCTTGCTATTTGACAGAATTACTTCCTTTTGTTTTGAAGGATAAGACTTATGTAATATGCAGGAAAAAGATCTGTGTGTGTGGTTTTTAAATCTGTCAGTTTATTTTATTTGAGATAATACATTTGGAAGAAATAACTATTTTTGTGACACAAACTTCCAGGATTTTTAAACACCTTGTTTTATTTTCATCAGAATCACTTGATGGCTGCCAGGAAAGCATTTGACAAATTTTTCATACACTATCCGTATTGCTATGGTTACTGGAAAAAGTATGCAGACCTTGAAAAGCGGCATGACAACATTAAACAATCAGATGAGGTGCGTACATTACTGAATAAAATTATCTCCATTAGGTACTGTAAGCCAAATAATAACGAAACAAAAACTTTTTTTTTTTTTTTTTTTTGGCTGGCAGTACCTACGATTTATGGTCAAACAATTTTATAGGGTATTTTATTTGCATTTGTCACTCTTGTGGCATTTGTAGCTAATATTTTCTCTCTTTGTTGGCAGGTGCGTTAAACCTCTACAGTTTGTCAAGCTTTGCAGTGCAAGCCTCTGTATTACACTGCAGCTTAACAAGTAGGGCAGGGCTTTTCTCTCACTTACATTTATTTCTCATTTTCCAAACAATATAGTTGGTTTGCTAGTCACATTTGCTACGTCTTATTGCATTTTTGGTCAGACGCTGTCATTGATGCTCTAATGGGTCTGTGCCCTATGGTCTGTAACCCAAAGCCTGCCCACACAACCCGGTCAGAATGCAGGGACTGCTGCGCTTTGAAGATCAAGACTCTGCACGTGGGGATCAGAACATTGCCATGTTCTATCCAACCTCCACCCAAATGGTAATGGTAGATTATTTAAACAAAATTCCAGTAATTAGTATTTCTAAGGTTCACCGGATAACACAGTGTTGCCTCTCTGTTAAGAAATAATTAAATATTTGAAGTACAGTTTGTTGTTTTCTTCTTAGGTGTATCGTCGGGGGCTTCAGGCAATACCTCTTAGTGTTGACCTATGGATACATTATATAAACTTCTTAAAAGAAACATTGGACCCTGGTGAATCTGAGACAAACAGTACAATAAGAGGGTATGCTAAACATTGATATTTTCAAATGCCTTCAAAGGAGAAATAAGTCAAGTATTCTGATGATAATAGAACTACTCATGAATGCTAAACTGAATGTTTAACATACATTTCTTTTTCACTATTTAAAAAAATGAAACGTAGTAAACTTATGCATGATTATAAAAATTACAGATAATAATGCCCTCATTCCATACCCCCGTTGGCCCATTGCCTTTGTGGTTTATGAATTGTGTATTCTTTCATATACATACAGATGTGCGTGTGTGTATTGTACATAATTTGGCTTTTTTTTTAATGTAACAATGTTTTGGAATCTCTCCCTATTGTAATTTTTCAAGCATTGAAGAAGTATGTTGTGGTATCAAAGTACTGTATTTTATTTGTCCAAATCCTTATTTATAGGAAGTAATCAGTGGCGCAGGGAACATGTCTGTATTAGTCATTATTTATGTAGAGCGTGCTAGAAATGGAACTTTTGTCAAAGAGAACACACAACTAACTTTTATCAAATGTTCTTTCACAAGTGGTATCAATTTAAACTCCCACAGTATATGAGAGTAGTCATATTTTCCCATAGCTGTGCCACATTCTCTTTAACCTCCAGTGATATCTCAGTATTTTAGGTTGCCTATCTCTAGACTGCTCATCCCAGTTTGCCATCTTTTCGTGTACTTGTATAAGCCATTTGCTCATTGCCTGTTCATATCATTTGCTCATTTTACTTTTGGATTGTCCTTTTCTTATGATTATAGGAAATTTTAAATGTGTTTTTTTTCAGTAGTATTTTTTTATTGTTAAATGTGTTTTTGGTTTTTATTTTTATCAAAGTATGTGCATATAGTTGAAAAAGTCAGTGTTAAACTGCTTACAACAAAAAGCAGTTCCTCCACCCTTCTTCAAGTATTTTAGCTGCTTCTTGCATTTTCCTATATGTTTATAATAGTAGCTCTTTCTCTCTCTTCATTACATTATGATTTTGTTATGGTAGATGAGATTTTTAGTTCACTTATACTCTTCCCATATCTTACTTTTCCAATATTGATAGGTTTCAAAGCCTTTTATTTTTCCTGGAGTTAATTACCCCTTTTTATCCTTACCTCCTTTTTCCCACTTGCTTAGTTTTCTTTGAACATTTAAAATTTCCTACCCCTTCCAACAGCCACTTTCAGTAGTTAGTACTCATAACTGACTTTCCACAGTGTACAAATGCTATGTACATTTTTTGGAAGCTAAAAAATGTATATATCTAGTGTTATTCTACTTACTCTGCAAATTGTGAAAGGGAATTATACTCTGAAATTTGTAAATTCCATTTTTTACCGTTCCTCTTGGAGGATATCCTTGGAACCTTCTCTTTCTGTAGTCTGGATTGGTTGCTCTGCTCTGTTCTGTTTCTTCCATACAGCAGTTATTTTGAGATTTCCTCATCATGATTCTAGGAGATATCTTTACCTCTTTCCTGGGTTTCAAGCTCTAATTTTGAGAGTTTTTTAGATCCTGTTTTTTCTTGGCTGATGTCTACCTTTATAGAGGAGTGCGTCCTATAAGTTCTTGTTAAAGGATGCTTGGGATGAAAAAAATTAAGAGTTTGTAAGTCTGAAACACCCAGTTGATGATCAGTGGGGTATAGAATTTTGAGTTGGAAGTAATTTTTCCTTAGGGCTTTGAAGGCATCTCTTCACTCTCTTACAGCTTCTGGTGTTGTTATTGAGAAGTATGGTAACTCTGGATTCCCTTTGTATGACTTGTTTTTCTCATGGATGCTTTTAAAATGTTCTCTTTATCTTTGCTATAAATGCAGTTTTATAATGATACGCTTTGATGTGGGTTTTCTTTTTCTAATTCATTGTGTTTACTAAGTGGGCCTTTTCAGTCTAGGGTGCTCATGTCTTTCTCTTCTGAGAAATATTATTGGGGTACCTGGCTGGCTCAGTCACTATAGCATTCACCTCTTGATCTTGGGGGTCATGAGTTGAGGTCCATGTTGGGCATAGAGTTTGCTTAAAAAAATAATAAAATTAAGATATTATTGTGTATATTCTTATGTTGATAATTCCCTTCCTATGGTTTTCTCTATTTTTAATAGTTGGACATTGGATCTTATGTTTTAATCATTTAATTTTCTTATTTTTGTTTTTACTTTTTACATGTCAGATTTTATTGGGCTTTTTGAGGCATTTCCTTGACCCTTGTATTGGATTTTTCCTATCTGCCATTATTTTTTTAATGTCCAAGAATCTTTTTTTTTTATTGTTCCTTTTCTTATATCTTCCTATTCTTGTTACATGGCTTAATATCTTATTACTTTTTTTTTTTAAGATTTTATTTATTTATTTGACAGAGAGAGACACAGTGAAAGAGGGAACACAAGCTGGGGGAGTGGGAGAGGGAGAAAGCAGGCTTCCCGCCCAGCAGGGAGCCCAATGTAGGGTTCAATCCCAGGACCCTGGGACCATGACCTGAGCTGAAGGCAGATGCTCAACGACTGAGCCACCCAGGCGCCCCTTTTTATTACTTTTTAAAAAGTATTAAGGACTGTTGAAGTTATCCTCTGCTCCCATCACAGTTTTCTCTGAAGTGTTTTGTTTACTTTTTTTTTTTTTTAAGATTTTATTTATTTGACAGAGATCACAAGTAGGCAGACAGGCAAGGCAGGCAGAGGGAGAGGGAGAAGAAGGCTCCCTGCTGAGCATGGAGCCCAATGCAAGACTCCATCCCAGGAGTCTGGGATCATCACCTGAGCCAAAGGTAGACGTTTAACCGACTGAGCCACCGAGGCGCCCTGTGTTTTTGTTCACTTGTTTTCATCTCTGACTTGTCTGATTTCTGGATTTCTGCTCATGTTAAAGATTAGATTTTAGGGGCACCTGGGTGGCTCAGTAGGTTAAGCATCTGCCTTCAGCTCAGGTCATGATCCCAGGGTCCTGGGATTGAGTCCCATGTGGAGCCCTGCTCAGTGGGGAGCCTGCTTCTCTCCTGCACCCCCCCCTGCCCCTTGCACACACTCTCTCTCAAAATCTTTTAAAAAAAGATGAATTTGTTTTTTTTTTAAAGATTTTATTTATTTATTTGACAGAGAGAGACACAGCAAGAGAGGGGACATAAGCAGGGGGAGTGGGAGAGGGAGAAGCAGGCTCCCAGCCAAGCAGGGAGCCTGATGTGGGGCTCAATCCCAGGACCCTGAGATCATGACCTGAGCTGAAGGCAGACGCTTAACGACTGGGCCACCCAGGCACCCCAAAATATTAGATTTTAATAAACTGAATGTAAGCTCTGTTTTATATTCAGGGTTTATATGCAGTTATTATTAGCTGGCTTGGTGGGCTTCACAGTAGGGTGATCAAATGGCCACTCAGGTTTTTGTTGGGTGAATCCCAGTGTTGGTATCCTTATATTTTACTATTGTGCCAGGCAGTTTCTCATTGAAGGATCATCTGATCTGCCTGGGGAATGTATACCTAGCTCCTGAAATCCCATAGCTCGGCAGGAAAGGAGGTTTAGAGTCTCTTACCATTCCTTAAGGCGATCTTCTTAGAAACATCCTGTCTTTAGTTCATTACCTTCTTACCATATTTCCTCTCCCAACTCCATCCACTTTTCTTAGTGTCTGGTGCGTTAATTTCCTGAATCATTTTGGGATTCTGCAGGGGCAGTAACATGTATTTTACTGTCTTGGAAACCTCAGACATAAACATATACTTGTGCGCACACATGCATAAACACATACTCTTAATCCTTTTTTTTTTTTTTTTTTTACTTTTTATTTATTTATTCATGAGAGACAGAGAGAGAGAGAGAGAGAGAGGCAGAGGGAGAAGCAGGCTCCCAAGTGTGGAACTCGATCCCAGGACCCTGGGATCATGACCTGAGCCGAAGGCAGACGCTTAACCATCTGAGCCACCCAGGCGCCCCACATACTCTTAATCCTTTATGCGTATATTAACATCCTCCAGTTTTGCACATTTTTTTTTAAAGATTTTATTTATTTGAGAGAGAGAGAAACAGCATGATAGGGGAGAGGGTCAGAGGGAGAAGCAGGCTCCCCGATGAGCAGGGAGCGCCATGTGGGACTCGATCCCAGGACTCTGGGATCATGACCTGAGATCAAGGCAGTTGCTTAACCAACTGAGCCACCCAGGCAACCCCAGTTTTAGCACATTTTTAAACTTTGTTCAGGATGTCTTTTTATCGTGTCTTTTTATCCTTTTTTAAGTCATAGATTAACCTTTTATTTTGTCCAACTTTTTTGCATTGATTTAAAATACCTTCTTTATCATATCTAGATTCTCACGTGTACATTGATCTGTTTTGTTTTCTTGGAACTGTTTTGTGATCCATTTCTCTGTTACCTGGCCAACACCATCCTTTTAATTACTATAGCGTCCTAATTTCTTTCTTTTTTTTAAATATTTTACTTACTTGACAGAGAGAGAGACAGCGAGAGAGGGAACACAAGCAGGGGGAGTGGGAGAGGGAGAGAAGCAGGCTTCCCGCCGAGCAGGGAGCCCGATGCGGGGCTTGATCCCAGGACCCTAGGATCATGACCTGAGCCAAAGGCAGACGTTTAACGACTGAGCCACCCAGGCACCCTAGCTTCCTAATTTCTTTTGATAGCTTTCAGGAAAATGCCCTCTGCATTGTCCTTTTTGTATGTTAGCTGTATGTTAGAATTTGGTTTACCTGTTCCACTCAAAATTTGTTGGAGCTTTGATTGGTATTGTATTAAGGTTGTAGATTAATATAAGTAGTACAGTTTTATACTGTTAAAAATCCCTCTTGATTGTAAGATACTATTTTGAAAATATGTATCTAAAAGTTTTATCCCACTGGGATATCAAATCCAATGATTAAAATTGCTTACAAAAATCTCTTGAGGGCGCCTGGGTGGCTCATTTGGTTAAGCGACTGCCTTTGGCTCAGGTCATGATCCTGGAGTCCTGGCATCGAGTCCCACATCGGGTTCCCTGCTAAGCAGGGAGTCAGCTTCTCCCTCTGACCCTACCCCCTCTTGGGCTCTCTTTCTCTCTCTCACTCTCTCTTTCTCTCGAATAAATAAATAAAATCTTTAAAAAAAAAATCTCTTGAAATGAGTCAGGTAGTTTAAAAACACAAGGTGGTGGTGTTTTGTTTTGTTTTTGTTTTTTAGTAATCTGTAATTTTAGAATCAGGAGAGACTTCTGAAAGTTTTAAAATACATGTATACTTCTCATTACCTTACAAGGCAGTTGGGTCCCTTCTTGGAGAATTATTTTGCCAGAAAATTATTCTTTAAATTGAGAAAAAAATTTGTTTTCTGCTATAAATGAATCTATTTGACAAACATTCAAGTTTCACAAATATTTAAGTGTTTGCATTGTCACTCTTTATATGTTTGTAATGCGTACATTTTTGCATTGTAGTTCTGTATAAGATAAAATTACATAAAAGTACACATATTCCCTTTGTTTCCTTTCTCTTTAAAACGTAGCTGTTGTACACTTTTCTATTTCTTCTGCCTTTTACTCCCTACTTGTATAGGGAGAAGTTGAATGTAATTTTGAATTTAGCACAATCTTCTGAGATTTAGAAATGTTTTATTTTTATTTTTAATTTTTTAAAAAAATTATATAATTGACATATATTAGATTTAGTTGTACAACTTAATGATTTGATATTTGTATATATTGCAAGGTGCAGAAATATTTTAAAAGTGATTTTATCTTGGAAAGATAACTTAGAGGTGATTTGATTTTTCAGAACTTTCGAGCATGCGGTTCTAGCTGCAGGAACAGATTTCCGATCTGACAGACTGTGGGAAATGTATATAAACTGGGAAAATGAACAGGGAAACCTGAGAGAAGTAACAGCTATATATGATCGTATTCTTGGTATTCCAACACAGCTGTATAGTCACCATTTTCAGAGGTGAGTGAAAAAATCCAATCATTAAAATATTTGATTATTCAGGTAATTAATTAATATTGAGGATTATAATTCTCTTGAAATGTCATGTGAGATTCTTTTAGATGCAAATGCATAAATTTTCTTGCTTGATAATCACAGTTTACACACGTTCAAATTTTGACATTTTTCCATATACTTTATGAAATGTTTAGGAACTTTACTGTTTTTATTTATTTATTTTTAAAAATTTTATTTATTTATTTGAGAGAGAGAGAGAAATAGTGATGTAGAGCATAAGTAGGGAAGAGGGGGAGAAGCAGGCTCCCCACTAAGCAGGGAGCCTGACTTGGGGCTTGATCCCAGGACGCTGGGATCATGACCTGAGCCGAAGGCAGACGCTAACCGATTGAGCCACCTGGGCGCCCTGGAACTTTACTGTTTTTAAACAGAAGTTTTTCTTTGTCCATTTTATAGATGAGGAATAATGGGAATCCTATCTTAGGTATTTCAGAGTGGTGAAAGAATGAGAAAATAGAACCCAAGTTTATTCTTTGTGGTACTAAGTTAATAGAGTACATGGCACATAAATATGCTTATTTAAAACTTAATGATTTGCTCGGGGCGCCTTGGCTGGCTCTTTCGATGGAGCATGTGACTCTTTTAAGTTCAAGCCCCAAGTTGGGTGTAGAGATTACTTAAAAAAAAAAAAAATCTTAAAAACAAAAACTTAATATACATTCTTGTGATTCATATAACACCTTATACCAAAATAGTGAAAGATCTATTTTATGTAGTAAGTCTAAATCTTTTTTTATTCAGTCAAAAATAATTTCATTAAAATTTTCCACTATGATTTTCTGTCATGACTGGTATTTCATTTTTATGAGTACTGTTAAAACAACTAATTCTGTATGATGTGAGTTCCACATTTTGTTTTCTAATATACTCAAAATATCCCACTGATAAGGACTCAAAGTCTTTCTGAACAAGAAAGTTTGTTTTACAGGTATTTGCTATGTTGATAAATATTTGCTTTTTTTAGCTACCATATTTGCTACATTTTTGTTACAACTTTTATAAGTAGTATAGTGTTAGAGCCTGTAAACTTAAGTACTTTTTAAGTAAGTGATTTTCTAAACTTTTTTTACTAAAAAAGTAGAAGACTACTAAAAAAGTAGAAGACTTTATGAAGCATCTAAAAAGTTATGTGGATCAATTTGCTAAAGATAGAAGAAATAATGCAGATCCAGATTAGGAATAGGAATTGTTTAGATGTGAATATACAGTCTCTGTTTTTTATGAAACAGAGGAGATACTCAGGTTTCTACAGTATAATGACCTAGGAAGACACTTGATAAAAGACGTTATTAATACAAAACTTGACATATGGAAATGCTTGATGAATATTTCTTGAATAAATGAATACAAGGGTTTTAAAAATCCTTGAGACAAAGAGGAGGCCTTTTCCTAAACCAGTTCTTCTAGGATCAACAGTATAGATAAAATTCTGTAATGATAAGAACTTTATTTTTGGTAAGAAAGATAAACTGTAACTAGGAAACACTTGTTACATGGCATTTGCTGTATGCCAGATGCTGTTCTGAATGCTTATTTATAACTTACAGCATTATAACTTAAGCATGTAACTTATAGCATTTATAACTTATTTAATCCTCATAATAAGCCAGTGAGGTATCTTATTATCCCCATTTTATGGGGATATTACTATCTTCCTTTTATGGAAGTAGAGGCACAGAAAGATTAAAACATTTGCATGAGGTCGCAGAGTGAGTTAGTGTTTAGAAGCTTATTGGAACCCAGACGGTGTGGCTCCAAAGTTCTTGGTATAGTCTCCTCCAAATCTTTTTTGTTGTTAAATGAATATCCCAGGTGCCTGGGTGGCTTGTTAAGCGTCTGCCTCCGGCTCAGGTCATGATCCCAGGGTCCTGGGATTGAGCCCCACCTTGGGCTCCCTGCTCATCAGGGAGCCTGCTTCTCCTTCTGTCCCCCATCCCCGCTCGTGCTCTCTCTCTCTCTCAAATAAATCTTAAAAAAAAAAAAAAAAAAATCCCAGTAGGGTTTTAAAATTGTATATATGCTTATAATAGATATTATTAGTGAATTGCATTACACATACTGCTCTTTAATCTCTTTTTTTTTTTTTAAAGATTTGTTTATTAGAGGGGTGCCTGGGTGGCTCAGATGGTTAAGCGTCTGCCTTTGGCTCAGGTCATGATCCCAGGGCCCTGGAATTGAGTCCCGTGTCGGGCTCCCTGCACAGTGGGGAGTCTGCTTCTCCCCCTCCCTTCTGCTCTCCTTGCTTGTGCTCTCTTGCTCTCTCTCGCAAATGGATAAATCTTAAAAAAAAAAAAAAAAGATTTATTTATTAGAGAGGGAGAGGGGGAGAGAGAATCTCAAGTAGACTCTGTGCTGAACGCGGGAGCCTGATACAGGGCTTGATCTCATGATCCTAAGATCATGACCTGAGCCAAAATCAAGAGGCAGATGCTTAACCGACTGAACCACCCAGGCACCCCTAATCTGTTCTTTTTCTTTTAATATATTGACAACCACTTTCCTTAATGTATGTAGCAAACTCACAAGTCGTGTTTGTGTAAATAAATCTTATGACATTACTAACTGCTTTGAGAACCAGTGAAATGTTTTCTTTTGCCTAATACACTCCTACTTGGTCATTTAGTGCTTGCTATGTAAAAGATTATATACCATTTAAGTTATAGAAATTAAGGCTCAGACAAGCTATGTGTGAATGGTGTTGGCTCTCAAGCTGGTCAGAAGTATAGAGGAGGAAGCATATGTTTATTTTTTTTAATTTTTTTATTTTTTTAAAGATTTTATTTATTTATTTGAGAGAATGAGAGATAGAGATAGAGGGAAGAGAGTCAGAGGGAGAAGCAGACTCCCTGCTGAGCAGGGAGCCTGATGTGGGACTCGATCCCGGGACTCTAGGATCATGACCTGAGCCGAAGGCAGTCGCTTAACCGACTGAGCCAACCAGGCGCCCGGAAGCATATGTTTAAAACAAAAGTGTTTAGGGGCATCTGGGTGGCTCAATCAGTTGAGCGTCAGACTCTTTTATTTCAGCTCTGGTGGGGGTCTCAGGGTGTGCACAGTGGTGAGTCTGCTTGGGATTCTCTCTCCTTCTCCACCACTTTCTGCACAGGCGTGCTCCCCCCACCTCCAGCTCACATAAATAAATAAATCTTAAAAGTGTTCAAGTGCTGGGTAATAGGGTTAGCCTGGTGATGGGTATTAAAGAGGGCATGTACTGAATGGAACACTGGGTGTTATACGCAACAATGAATCTTGGAACACTACATCAAAAACTAATGATGTAAATAATGCAATATATGTTAAGAAAAAAAAAGATAGGAGGGGAAGAATGAAGGGGGGTAAATCAGAGGGGGAGACGAACCATGAGAGACTATGGACTCTGAAAAACAAACTGAGGGTTCGAGGGTTCTAGAGGGAAGGGGGTGGGGGGATGGGCTAGCCTGGTGATAGGTATTAAAGAGGGCACATTCTGCGTGGAGCACAGGGTGTTATGCACAAACAATGAATCATGGAACACTACATCAAAAACTAATGATGTAATGTATAGTGATTAACATAACAAAAAATTAAAAAAACTAATGATGTATGGTGATTAATAGAACATAATAAAAAAATAAATAAATTAGTCCCCCCCCCAAAATATTTCTGTTGTGTAGGTCTGTATATTAGATGTATACTGATGAAATTATCTCTACGGAAATATGTAATTTAAAATTTTCCTTAGCATGAGAGTTTCTGATGTTGATTTAACTTCTCAGACCCAATCCCTGGTAGTTCCTAAGCTCCAGACCTATCTAAATACTGATAATTTCCCAGCAGACACTGTTGTTTTGTACTTCTGTGACTGTAATGCCTTTTCTACTTCCCATTTGTCTGGTTAACTCAGATTACTCAAAACCATACAGCTTAATGTTTTCTGTGTGAAACTTTAGTTTGCCAAAATAGAAAGTATTTGTTCTGTCATTTGTGCCAGCACTCTATTTATTTACAGTTGTCTTTTTTTAAATTTTTATTTATTTATTTATTTTTAAAGATTTTATTTATTTGTTTGACAGAGATAGCACAAGTAGGCAGAGCGGCAGGGAGAGGGAGAAGCAGGCTCTCTGCTGAGCAGGGAGCCCAATGCGGGGCTCGATCCCAGGACCCTGGGATCATGACCTGAGCTGAAGGCAGGTGCTTAACCGACTGAGCCACCCAGGCGCCCCTACGTTTTGTCTTTTTTAAAAAAAGTTTTTATTTTATTTATTTTAGGGGGGATGGACAGAGGGAGAGAGAAACTTTAGTAGACTCCACACTGAGCATGGAGCCCAACACAGGTCTCGACGTGGGGTTCCATCCCTCGATCCCGAAATCGTGACCTGAGCTGAAACCCAGGGTCAGAGGCTTAACCAACTGTGCCACCCATGTGCTCCTACTTACATTTATTTTAACATTAATAACACTGCTTTGAAATTGTCTCATATATCGCTCTGCACATCTGTCATTTTCTGAGACTTATTAATTCTTTTTATCTTTAATACATAGGAATTGGGCTCAATATATATTAGACACTCAGCCATTCTTTACTGAATAAATCAGTTTTATTTTTGGAAAGGTTGATGAAAATTCACTGCTTAGTAGTTATATTTTATCACCATTTGGAACAGTTTCCTATATAATATAGTAATTATTTTAAATTTGTGCTCTTTAGTCGTCAATTTTATTTGTAGCCTAACATTTTGAGTTTTAATATTTATCTGAACACTAAATCTATACATTTTCTTTTTTTTAAGATTTGATTTATTTGACAGAGGGAGAGAGAGCACAAGCAGGGGGAGCTCCAGAGCCAGAGGGAGAAGCAGGCTCCCTGTTGAGCAGGGAGCCCGATGTGGGGCTCTATCCTGGGACCCTGGGATCACGACCTGAGCTGAAGGCAGCCGCTTAACTGACTAGGCCACCAGGCCACCCTAAATCTGTTTGTTTCCTTACTAACTTTTGAAAGTTATTTCCTTTCTAATTTTTTTTAAATAAGGCAGTCTGTATTTGTTCTCTCCCAGTGGTGAAATGGATCAAGTTAAGCTGCAGTATTTATTACTGATTCTGTAAAATCTAGATCTGTTTCCCATTTTATTTACATATATTAGTGAAAGCCTTAAAATCCATAAAAATTCAGGTGTGAATAGCCTAAGTCAGTTTTAAGAAACTTGGAGAAAAGTCCATAAGATTGGAGCATAAGGTACATGTACAACTATGTCTCATAATTAGAATGAAGAGGTCAGTCTGGGTTAGAAGATGAAAGACTTTAAGGTGATTGGATTTTAGCATGAATGCAGGGTAAATGAAAAGTTATTTTGGCAGGAGGCAGTCATGATCATGTTTATGTTTTTCATGTTTACTTTTTAATAACATTTTTGATAGTATTAGGGTTGAGATGGGAATAGTGAGACTAGTGGCTAGAAGCCATTTAGGTTTATCCAGGTGAAAAACGAGAAGGATATGAAGACATATTTAGAAGGTAGAATCAATAGGACCTGATACTCAGTGGAATGTAAGTGAAGTGAGGTCAAAGAGATTTAGAAACCGAATGGTTGACAGTACCATTAATCAAGATTAGAAATGCTGAGGGTGTTGATTTGTGGATGAAGCTAACACAATTGGTCTAAGATGTTGTACGTAAGGTTCCAAATTTAGATAGTGTAGCTATTTTAGCTCTTCAGCTTGGTGTTTTTGATGAAAATTTGCATATATATATATATATATATATAAATTAGTGTGTGTGGAAAAATGAAATTACTTTTTTCAAAACACTCAAAATTAACCTATTTCTTTGTGCAGAGTTTTGGCAATTGGACAGACTGATCTAGAATTGAGAAAAGTATCGGCTTGAGTTAGTTTTCCGAGTCACCATAGTATGCTTATTTCTGTATTAATAAGATTGGCCAGGAAGTTAATGAAGATAGATGAGAACAAAATGTCAAATGGAATCCTTGGCAATCCTGACATTCAGGGACCAATAGGAAGGGAGAATCCTCAAAGATCAAGGATCAGTCAGAGACTTGGAGGCAAACAAAGAAAATGGTAACCCAGTGCCTTCTGAAAGAAAGCATGGTTAAAGGCCTTTAGTAGTGAAGACATTATTAGAGTGTAACCTGTACTATGAAACAAGTGTCCATTTAATTTTGCATGTAAGAGGCACTTGGTGACTTTAATTAGGGTAATTTCATTGGTGTGTTTGGCACGGACACAGAATCATGAGTAACTGGGAGGTGGGGAAGAAACGGCAAACATTTGTTGATCATTTACAAATGATCATTTATAATTTAAGTAGGGATTCTATCTTAAAGTAATTTTGCATAAATAAATACATTTTGCAAAATAGTATTGTGCCATTTTAGATATGAGAAAGCCAAGACTTAAAGAAGGGAAAAACTGGGACGCTTGGGTGGCCCGGTCAGTTAAGCTCCTGCCTTTGGCTCAGGTCATGATCCTGGGGTTTTGGGATCAAGCCCAAAGATCAGGCTCCCTGCTTCTCTCCCTCTGCCCCTCCCCCCACTTGTCCAAGTCCTCGTCCACATGTGCTTGTTTTCTCTCTCTCTCAAATAAATCTTAAAAAAGAAAAACTTCCCCGAAGTCAAATAACTAATAATGGACAGAGTTAGGATTTGAATGTATGCCTATCCATGCCTTCTCTGTTATATTGCAAAGGCATAAAAGAAATGAAGATGTCTGTAGACTGTTTGATCAAGTGGTAGGTTTTTACTATAAAAAAGCATAGAAAGGGTTTGGTGTTTTAAATCAGAAATTTTTTGAAAGGGTACTGTGTAGTAGGAATTGAATGTGGGATCTAAAATTATGCTTCATATATAGAGAATTTATTTTTATTGGCTTATTTAGATTTAAAGAACATGTACAGAATAACTTGCCTAGAGATCTGCTAACTGGTGAACAGTTTATTCAGCTGCGAAGGGAATTAGCTTCTGTAAACGGACATAGTGGTGATGATGGTCCTCCTGGTGATGATCTACCGTCAGGAATTGAAGACATTACTGATCCAGCAAAGGTAACCAGACTTAATTGAAAAATCCTTCAATGCATGAGAAACTAGACTTTATATGCCTTGACTTCATATGTTGTATGACTTGTGTCTCATATAAAATTAATTTCTAATTAAGGCAAGTGGGACTTCTTTAGCTATGGTGTGGTTAAAAAGAGAGTTAAGGTAGAGAATCTATTTTACTATGAGACACCTGGAAATAGCTTAGAAGGGACATTTTGCCCATGTGGTAATCTACTAGTCCCCTTTAAATGTACACAAGAAAGTGGTTTATTAGGAAGTTCTGTAGAAATTTTAGAATTGTTAATTGTACTTTCCATATAATTGTTAACAGCTTAAAACCTACCACTATTCTCAGATTATAAAGTAGGTATCGATAATACCGAAATTTAAGCAGTATTAAAAATTTCAGTATATAACTTATGTGATTTAAATTTTTTTCTTTTTCTTCCCAAGCTAATTACGGAAATAGAAAACATGAGACATAGAATCATTGAAATTCATCAAGAAATGTTTAATTATAATGAGCATGAAGTTAGTAAAAGGTGGACATTTGAAGAAGGTGTAAGTGTTTTTGTTTTGTAATAGGCTTCAAAATATAAAGATAGGAATAATGTATTTTTCTTTGTTTTGAGTAATGTCTCTCTACTTTTTATTTTTGCTTATTTAAATACTATTACCTGTTTCCCATGATCAGTTTTATCATTTTCCATTGTCAGTTTTAGAATCTTATAAAATGAATTCAGATTTACTCCAGTTGGAAGATACTTATTTAATCTGAACCATTTTATTACAGTTGTTCAATTTTTTAAATCATCTTATTTGAGCGCATACTTTACATACAACAGAATGCACCCATTTTAGATGTGTAGTAAAATGAGGGTTTCCCTCCACAGATTCTAATTCTTTATTTCTGTTTTTCCAAACAGCTTTTTTGAGATACAGTTCACTTACATATAGTTCATCCATTTAAAGTGTATAATTCAGTAGTTTTTGGTGTGTTCACAGATAGGTACAGCCATCATTCTGGTCCATTTTAGAACATTTTCATCACCTCACAAAGAAATTCTTTATCCTTTAGCTGTCACCCCTCTACTCCCTCAACGTATCTGCTCCACCTCTTACCCCCAGCCCTTAGGTACTACTGATCTACTTCTGTTTCTATAGATTTGTTCTGGCCTTTCATTTGAGTGGAATCATATAGTATGTGGTTTTTCTGTTGACTGGCTATAAGGTTTGACATGTATATGCACATTACAGTGCTCCATGGCAATCAGATATGGAACTAGTCTGTCATCCCAGAAAGTTCCCTTGGTCCCTTTTCATTCAGTAACCCCCATCCCATTCCTAGCCCTAGGCAACTGCTGATCTGCTTTCTGTTACATGTATAATTGTTCAGTTTTAAAATACTCAATAAAGAAAAACATTTACTGAACGTAAAATTGTGTAGTGCCATTACAATTAATAAATAAATGAAAGATACATTCTGCTTCTTCCGTTTGTAAAGCCTAAGAAATATAATTTTAAAAGTTTTTATCATGAAATACGGTGATTAAAATTTCTTTGGTTCACCATCATTAATTACATACATAATTTAGATAATTCGTATTGTTACTATAGTCATGCATTTTCTGGTGTTGGTATTGGTTTACTTTCATTCCTCTGTTACACTATTTTTCCTGTCATACTTTTATTACAGATTAAACGACCTTATTTTCATGTGAAACCATTGGAAAAGGCACAACTAAAAAACTGGAAAGAATACTTAGAATTTGAAATTGAAAATGGGACTCATGAACGAGTTGTGGTTCTCTTTGAAAGATGTGTCATATCATGTGCCCTCTATGAGGAGTTTTGGATTAAGGTAAGAAAATTAGATGCTCTGAAACTTGAACATATTATAAACATTGATCTAGTGACTAACCTTTTTTGTACTTCTGTTGAATGTTGTTCATATAACTATATCTGTTGCATTAGGAGATGGTCTGCTTGCAACCAGATTTGACTGCTGCATATGCCAACCTCGTTGCCTCTCTTCGTCCTTCCTTACAGAAACTAGTCTAGTGGTTCAATAAAGGTGCTGAATGGGTTTAAAAATAGAATTTTATCGTTCTGTCACATATTTAATGGCTCGTTCAACTGTAAATTATTCAGTATTTCCTTTGTTTCTGTATGTAGTATGCGAAGTACATGGAAAACCATAGCATTGAAGGAGTGAGGCATGTCTTCAGCAGAGCTTGCACTATTCATCTTCCAAAGAAACCCATGGTGCATATGCTTTGGGCAGCTTTTGAGGAACAGCAGGGTAAGAATGAGGAAATTCAGTTGGTATTTTTGGGATTTTAAGGAACTTCTGGATAAAGTTCTAGGAATTGAGTCTGAGGGATGGTGTAAAGGAGAGGTCAATAAACTTTTTCTATAAAGGGCCAGATGGTAAATATTTTAGGCTTTTCAGGCTTATGGTCTCTCTCCTGACAACTCTACCATTATAGCCCAGAAGTATCTGTAGATAATAAACAAATGAGCATGGCTGTTTTCAGTTTTAAATAAAAAAAACAGAGGGCTGGATTTAGCCTGTGGACTGTTATTTGCCAGTACCTTGCATAAAGGATATTTCAGAAGTTTAAACAAAAGCATAAACATTTAATTAACATTTCTAGGTAATATTAATGAAGCCAGGAATATCTTGAGAACATTTGAAGAATGTGTTCTAGGATTGGCAATGGTTCGTTTGAGAAGAGTAAGTTTAGAACGACGGCACGGAAATATGGAAGAAGCTGAACATTTGCTTCAGGATGCCATTAAGAATGCCAAATCAAATAATGAATCATCGTTTTATGCTATCAAACTAGCCCGGCATCTTTTCAAAATACAAAAAAACCTTCCAAAATCAAGAAAGGTGCTTTTGGAAGCAATCGAAAGAGACAAAGTATGTATTTGTATTTTAGAATATCTTTCATAAAAAAACAAAAACAAAAAAACAACAAAAGAACAGTGTGGTCGTTTGTTTTCTTATTTTGGCAACTATGATGAAAGATTTGGTCTGTATGTAATATATTTAATTACTAAATGAAGACAACAGTCCCTCTAAACTGATGTTGCCATTCTTTAAAATTTTTTCAAATTATTAGGAATTAAAAGGTTGAGAAAATTAAGATTATTGGATTAAAAATTGTTGCAGACATTGTGACACTTTGTTTCTCTCGTGTTTAGAAATTTTACAGCAGATTTACTGAGTAACGGACTTGGGAGACTATCTTATAAACAAAAGCATGGCAGTTGTCTGCATCTTAGCAACTATAACAGTGAGATTCTCCTTTTCAAAAGTATTTCACTTTATCAGTTGATAAAAGGCAGTGTATGTGATATTTCTCACTTTTTAGATTTTCAGCTAATACCAGGTCTGTTTAAGACACAGGTCTATAACAGTGTGTTTCCAGCTGCAGTTTAAGATGATAACAGTATTAATGGGAACTGTAGAAACCATTTTTTGTTTTATTTTATATTTGTCATGGTTGGTCAAGCCACATCAAACCCAAGATAGGATATAGGGTTTAAACTTACTGGGATTTAACAGTTTGCATAATTTGGGAGATGCTAGGTCATTACTTCTCAGTGTGCTAATTAGTTTTTTCACCTGTTTTGATATATGCTCAAAACATTAACCTGAGTTACATTTTAATATGATTTTCAGTATTTTTCAAACTTAGACATAAAATTTAAGGCATTTTAAATATCTGTGTTCTTATAAAAATATCTTAGAAATATTATTAATTGATACTGCTTTTTACACAGGAGAATACAAAGTTATACCTCAATTTACTTGAAATGGAATATAGTGGTGACCTCAGACAAAATGAAGAAAATATCCTAAATTGTTTTGACAAAGCTATACATGGTTCATTACCTATTAAAATGAGAATTACATTTTCTCAGAGAAAAGTGGAATTTCTTGAAGATTTTGGTTCAGATGTTAATAAGTAAGATCTTAATTATATATTATCTATTTGCATAGCAAATGAGCATTGATAATTTTGGTTGGGAGTTTGATGATTAGTACAAATTAATATATTGTTAAATTTAAAATGTTTGCCTAGGTTACTTTTTCCTCATATATATGGAGGGTAAATTCAGTTTTGCAAATGTGTATGTGTTTAACAGGAGGACAGATGGTTTGTCTTTCCTTCAAAATTGTTTTCAAAATTTTAGCATGGTAATGTAAACAATGAGAGAAGGCAGGAAACAGCAATCCCGTGAAAAAAGAAGTGGGTCAAGGATTGAACCCTAAAACACAGAAACAGTATAGAGGCCACTAAAGGGGGATGGGCTTAATCTGAAATAGGGATGCTGTTTTATCTCTGATTGGAGAAAATGGATATGGTTGCACAGAGCATGCCTAATGGATTCAATTTAATGCATTGTAAGAAGCTGAAAGTTGAGGGTGGTGGAAGGATTTACTCTAAGGGATTTGGGAAAAGGAGAAGCTTATGATTTATAGTTGCAAAATAGAGGAGTAGAAGTATTAATTAGAGTATTGCTGCTGTCGCAGTCTTAACTGCTTCTAGTAGGGAACTATCCCACTTAGTAGGCGTGTCCCTTTTCTAATTACCCTAATTTAGAGTGATTTCTATTGAAACAGCTGTTGATAAAATGAGGATTTATGTGTCTTTATATATGCATTTATACATTTTTGATGGTTGAGTAAAATTTTAGCTAAACTAAAAAACATTTTAACATAAGTTAATTTTTAATACAATCGTATATATGTGCTTGACACATTAAATGTTTCATGAATTAGCTAATGAAGGTATAAGTACTGTTTTTTTGTTGTTGTTGGTACTGTTGTTTTAATAGATGAAGAGAGGCTTAAAGAGATTAGAAATTTTTCCAAGGTCAGTTACTTCTATTTCATTGTGCAACTGGGATTAGAACTTGCTTCAAAGTCTGTGCTTCTCACCACCTGTGCTGTATATTTAGTGTCTTCTGTTTATTTTGTACTGAAGAAAGTGCACAAAAAGAAATGGGATATTTAATTCCAGGTTTTAGTCTAGTGGATGGTTTGATGATCAGAGGAAATATGTAAGTATATGAGGTGGCACAAAACTGTTAAAGGCGACTGTGATTTCTGTGGATCAGAATGGATTTGTCATCCTTCACAGAGGAGAAGGGGCTTCATTTAGGTACTACTGGATTCTGACAAGGAGAGGATAAAATGGAAGAAAGTTAAAGTTCATTTAAAAGTAACATTTGCTTGATTGGAGAGCTTTTGAAGTAGTAGAAGTGTGATGTTGATTGTGCTGTGTATTGAACAGTAGGCTGGGTTAGAGCACACGTAGTACCACAAATAGACAGTAGGATGCTATTAGAGTTTTGACTGGGATTAAATGACATACTTGAATTTTGCAATAATATGTGGACAAATCTAAGGCTTAACACAAAGATGCCAGTTAGGCCCTTGCAAATATAGTTATAGAGGGTCTGTATATCAGGTCTAAGATGTTAAAATTTAAAAAGGCAGTGATTGAAAAATGAGCTTAGAAATTTAGGTAGCGGTATAATGTATTAGTAAGAATTGATGTTTAATTCAAATATATGCTTAAATCTTAGCTGTGTCACTTACCATTTGTGTATTTCTCAGTTTTCAGATTTTCTTGTTATGATTCAATCTCTCATCACTTAATCCACACGTTGTTAAGTCTTAAAAAAACCTAGTCCATTTAAAGTGCTTGATACTGAGTAAACACTCAACCAGAGATTGCTGGTATTAACAATTTTATAGCTTCTTGAACATTTTGGGATCAGAGTTACTGGTTGTTACCATTAGATGTCTATATATGCAGGCTGCCCAGGGAAGTTGTGTATGCATGTAAAGTATATTAAGGTCATTTCTACAGAAATGTTAATTATCTGTGTTCAGGTTTATGATTACTTTAAAAAATAAGGCCATTTGTCTTTATAAAAAATATTTTAGAAAATGGTAAAAGGAAAACAAAATCTTTAGGATTTTACAGTCAGTTTGGCTTCAAGTGACATCGTTTTTGAAGTTGTGAGTTCCAGGTGAGACTTAAAATACACGTATCATGTTAGAAGTTTTTTATTTTTTTTTAAGAAAAAGGATTTGAGAGCACGCACATGTGCGGGGGTGGGGTAGAGGCAGAGGGAGAGAGAGTCGCGGGGTGTGCTCTCACAACCTAGAGAGCATGACCTGAGCTAAAACCAAGAATCAGATGCTTAACCAACTGTGCCATGCAGGCGCGTCCTAAAAAATTATCTTTTTAATCAGTGATAACAATTCCACGTTGTAGATTTGAATTTTTTTTTTTTTTTTTAAGATTTATTTGAGACAGAGTGCAGAGCAAGAGAGAAGAGAGCACGAGTCGGGGGGTACTGTTGGGAGGGGGCAGGAGGAGAGGGAGAAGCAGGCTCCCCACTGAGCAGGGAGCTCAGTGCCGGGCTCAGTCCCAGGATGCTGGGATCATGACCTGAGCCAAAGGCAGACACAACTGGCTGAGCCATCCAGGCACCCCTGTAGTTTTGTATTAAGTTTTAATTCAGTTTATCACATGGCCAAAGTTTAAATACACTTTATCCTAACTGGCGTCCAGTATCTTTGATAAGCAATGTTAATTAGATCTCAAAGTATATAAATTATGGAATGGTCAGGACTCACTCTGTACTGGACAGAAACGCTCAAGGTCACTGTCTTAGTTGTGTAAAAATTTCTTAGGCGGGGGTGCCTGGGTGGCTCGGTTGGTTGAGCAACTGCCTTCAGCTCAGTTCATGATCCTGGAGTCCCGGGATCAAGTCCCACATCGGGTTCCCTGCTCAGCAGGGAGTCTCCTTCTCCCTCTGACCCTCTTCCCTCTCGTGCTATCTCTCATTCTCTAAATCTCTCTCTCAAATAAATAAAATCTAAAAAAAAAATTTCTTAGGCAGGCTCTCCCCTGTGTTAGAAATAACCAAAGGTAGCTCTTCACCAATATCCCATCACCTTCAGCCAACTGTAGTACAGAGAACAAGCATTTTTCTTTTTTTTTTTTTTTAAAGCTTTTTATTTATTGAGAGAGAATGGTAGAGGCAGAGCATGAGAGGGAAGAAGGTTAGAGGGAGAAGCAGACTCCCCGCTGAGCAGGGAGCCCAATGTGGGACTCGATCCCGGGACTCCAGGATCATGACCTGAGCCGAAGGCAGTCGCTTAACCAACTGAGCCACCCAGGCACCCAAGCATTTTTCTAGTAGCTCAAAAATCCCAGGACTTACTAAATGTCTTGGTTTCGTCGTATTATTGGTCAGGGGTATATAGTACTGTAATTGGCCAGTCCTGAATTCCTGAAGCCCCATTTGAATCACATGGGCTGAGAAGGAAAGTGCAGAGTAGTGCTTTCCCAAAGGAAATATATTGGAAAAGTTAGCTGGGAGGTTTGCTTATTGGTTCATTAAAAAATAATAAAAAATCTGGATATTCATTGCAACATATTTTTGTTTCGAAGTGGAAATAAGTCCAAAACTTTATAAATTTATCAGTTTGGTTTTTGTATATTCCAGAGGATTTTTTTTCCTTCCCTCTCAGGCTTTTGAATGCTTATGATGAACATCAAACACTCCTAAAAGAACAGGATTCTTTAAAAAGGAAAGCAGAAAATGGGTATGTAACTCCTTGCTGAATCAGGAAGGGATGCTTAAAAGAAGACGTTTCATTGTGGAAATGCCTTTAAAGATAAATATTTTTACATGTTACCTTCATGTTGTGGTAATTTAGTACTTTATATTCAGGATTTGAAAAAAATCATACAAAACTGAGTGGTTAAAAACTTTACTAAAACAAATATACATAGGTACAAATGTATACACATTCATCCATTTGTTTTAAAAGTACTTACCTGTGGGAGTTTTGAAAGTTTCTGTTTTGTCCTTTTTAGATCAGAAGAACCAGAGGAAAAGAAAGCTCACACAGAAGATACAACTTCATCATCTACACAGATGATTGATGGTGATTTACAGGCAAATCAAGCTGCATATAATTATAGTGCCTGGTATCAAGTGAGTTCACATAATTGAATTTTTTGTTCATAGATGTTAATTAGAAAAGCATAAGTTAGGATAGTTTTTTTTTTTTTAACAACTACTTCTACTCCAGACTGTACAATATTGTCTTATGTGGTTAAGTCTTAGAATTTTAGCAGTGAACACATGCCTGTTTTCTTAAATGTATCTGCTTTTATAAATGGAACCAGCCAGTTCTAGTATGCTAACATGTGTGCTTTTTCCTTTCAGTACAATTATCAGAATCCTTGGAATTATGGACAGTATTACCCTCCCCCTCCAACCTGATGAGAAAATGTATCAGATGGAATGTGTGAAAAATATGAAATTATTTTTTTTTAATGAGGGATGTAAACATAGCGTAAACTTGTTGTATTTGATAATTTGTCTTCCTGTTTCTGTGTAACATGATTTGTTTAGTAATAGGGGAAAATGTCACTTAGTAGCTTACCACAGATACTATTTCCTACCATTTATAAAATTTACTTTTTATTGGAGAACTATTTTTTTGATTTTTGCATTAAGTGGTCTAGAATTCTTTTGCAGTGCATTTGCAACAGAGTTTTGTAGCCTTAAGGGGTAGGAAAAAAAACTGACTGCAAATCACGTCAGTGTAGTACAAGATCTGAAAATACATAAGGGCTGGTTATTAAGGATTTACCTCTGTAAAAAAAAAATGGATTTTTAACCTTTGATGACAAGGTTTTGTCTGTTTCAGTTATCCTTGTGAATTTGGATTTAACTGCAGAAAAGATATACTATTAAACACTATGTCTTGGGATAGAGATTATAAATGAAAAAAATGAAATGTTTGCATCCCTTTTAAAAAATGAAAATCATATCAAAAGTATGTTGTTTCAGGAGACTTTGTATTTAGAATATTCATGTAAAATTTGTGAGCAAGCTTTCATTTTGATCAAACTGATCATCCTCATTTTTATAATAAAACTGAAGAAGACTCCTCTACAAATTGTTACGAATTTATTGGGGGGTGGATCACCTCACAGTATTAACTTTTATTCATCATTATTAGTGGTTCATTGGTTTTGAAAGTATACTTTTCTTGAATTTAGTTATTATCTTCTTGCCAGAATTAGACCATTTAGCTTTTTGCTTCCTCCATTTCTGTCCTCATTTTCACTATACAGGAGTATTTATTTAAAGATTTTAATTTTAAGAGGAGGGGCACCTGGGTGGCTCAGTTGAGTGTCCGACTCTTGGTTTTAACTCAGGTCATGACCTCAGGGTTGAGATTGAGCCCCATGTGGGGCTCCGAGCTCAGTGGGAAGTAAGCTTGAGATTCTCTTCCTCTCTGCTCCTCACTCTCCCTCAGGTCGTGCTCATGCACTCTTTCTAAAATAAAAACCTTAAAAAAGAACTCTTAAAAGATCTTTTAAAAAAGAGTAAAGATTTTAAGAGGAGTACCCCTGGCAAAGCTGTCTAGACAATTTTACTGTAACTCCCTGTTCTGATTAAAGCCTTATTAGCTCTGGTTAACCTAATCAGAACATTTATGTATCAACACCAAACAAATCAAGACACTGAATATGTTTTTATTGAGCCTTTTAGTTTACAACATGAGGTAAAAGGAAAGTCATTTCTCCTTAACCAATATTTTACACAGCTGTAGTAAAATATTTCGAACTTTAGGGAATTATAATGGATTACATATATTAAAAGTTGGGGATTGGGTAAACAATATCGGAGTTCTTGAATTCTCCAGTTGACTCTTCCCTTACAATAGTAACCAGCTCTAATTAGTTACATAAGTTTCTTCAAGGCCATGTTTTATTGTTGCTGATGTCTTTATATCCGAAGCATTGCTATTTCAGTCAATATCCACTAACTCCACTTCAAAAATGAGTTTTGCATTTGGTGGAATTCTGTTGAAGGAGTCAAGGTAAATTCGATAAAAATTGTTTCTTCCTTCACTCCCAATAACCTCAGTCTAAAATTGAACTATATATAATGGATATTGGGTATTAACCCCAAAGGGAAGGACTTTATGACTGATTGAGGCGCTAATACATACTAGCCTAGTGGTTCTTAAAAGTATCTTTGTGAATGGTGATCATAACCTATCGGTATAGGCTGACTAGACAGGTTGAGCTTGGACTAGGATCTTCCTTTCTTGGATGCCTCCTAGTACTCCCAATTTAACCACCACCTAATGAAGATTGCTGCTCCGTGCTTTAAAAAAAAAAAAGTGATTTCAGTCTAGTTGGGTGTAAAAGTTATATTAAATCAAAGTTCATTATGAGGTAGTCCCTGGTATCTGCTATGAATTTTAAGATGCTGAGTTCAGAGAAGTGTGATTTTTATCTGGTTTTGAGATGCTTCACATGAGAGAGGGGGAGCTGTAGTTGGGCCATCTAGTTTTGATAGGCTTAGAGGAGGACTATTATATTCCTAAATAATCTTAACTGATAAGATTGGAGAGGACTTCCAAATTTTTTAAGTTACTTTAACTGATCCAATTAGTCCAATGAGAATGGAACCAACAACAGAAAAAACTACTTTCTCACTTAGTTATGGGACTGTTCTGGTCAACATGGTCAGGAGGCACGGCTTTTTAATTTTCACAAACCAGGCCTATCAGAAAAGCATTGTCAGTAGTAGTAATCACATATGCTTACACGTTGTTGGACCCATGGTCTCCTTAATTTCATAACTGGTAATTCCCAACATGTGTTCCATTTCTAAGCTGAGTACCCATTTACTTGCCTGAAATTATACTGTAGCATAAAATTACCATGAGCCATACTTGTATCCTATAATTTGCTTTAGTTCTTTGTACTGGACATCTTAACTCCTTGAAGTACATCCTTCATACAGTAACAATTGCCTTTCAAAGATGAAAACTTAAAACCTCATAGTTTACCTCTTAAAAATAAAAAACTTGAGTTCCAGAAGAAAAAAGGTAGATTCTATTCTAGCTCAAGTTCGCACACTTTGTATCAATAAAAAATATTAACTACTGTCTATATTGGAGGTCTTGACACAGAAGCATCTAAATATCCGGAATACTACTCTAGACATGATTCCTGATCTGGAAGTTAACCTAGACAGTATCTTTTATACATTCAGGTGGTCTTTCTTCGTGTTTTTTCTTTACTCACAAAGGAAAAAAGGATACTTGGCATCAGGCTGTCCTTTCTTTCCATAAGCCCATTCTGGTTCAATCTCTAGTCGAGCCTTTTCTCCTTTACTCATAGTTAAGAGTGCTTCATCCCACTAAAGGCAAGAATATGAAATAAAAACTAACGATAATTTGCAAAAAAAAAAAAAAAATTCATGAAAAACTAGAAGGCCAAATATACCAAAAAACATTCTGTTACTGGATTTCATTGTATTGTAACGTCCTTGGGTGAATCTTTGTCCTTTATTTCCTCAATGAAAAAAAATATTAAACAGTAATTTTTTAGTGCAGTACACTTTTTTTCTTACTAAATTATTTACTCTTATTTCACTTGCACCACAGGTCAAAATTCAAACTGTACTCATATTTAGTTCTAGAAAATTATTGGACATTTGTAGATAAATCAGTTCATAGGCTAAATCAATATGTCATAAAGTATATATTATTAAAATTAATAAGGCATCTCTATATAATTCTTAGAAGTTTTATAAATATAATGTTTCATCATCTGTGATATTAAAATACTTGATTTGGTCACTAATTCTTTAATTTTATTTTATTATGTTATGTTAGTCACCATACATTACATCATTAGTTTTTGATGTAGTGTTCCATGATTCATTGCGTATAATACCCAGTGCTCCATTCAATACGTGCCCTCTTTAGTGCAGTACACTCTTAAAATGCTACAATGTGAAGGCACTTTTGTAAATGATAGATGTTCTAAGTTATGGAAACCAGTTTATTAGTACTATCATAAAAAACTTGCTACACTTGTTATATCCTAGGGCAAACTTCTGAATTTATATTATAGGGATAAATTAACAATACAATTGTCTTAAGATCACTAGACTGTGGAGTCATGATGGCACACATAAGATAAGCTACATGTTAGGGCATTAAGACCTTCTGTAGAAGGTAAAACTTTTCAAAGAAATGATATAGGTTTCTGGGCTGCCACTCCAGTTTGTCCAAATTTGGATCTTTTACTTTTTTTTTTTTTTTTAAGTAAACTCTATCCCCAACGTGGGGCTTGAACTCAAAATCCCCAGATCGAGTCACATGCTTTACCAACTGAGCCAACCAGACGCCCTGGATCTTAAAGCCAGTTCCTAAAAACAGTTAAATTAACAGGATGCAAAGGTAAATATAATGACTAATATCAAATACTCTGTTGAACTGTCACTGTCACATAAAGCTTAAGGGATAGAGATCTGTTACATAATGGAAATTAAGAATATGGTTCACTAGAAGAAATACACAAGCAAATTAGTCATAGAAACAGAAAAATTGATCAACTTGATACACAGTATCAATTTGGTATAATCAAATAGCAGTTAAGGTTATTTTCAACTAAACCTTTAGTTTCAAGATGTTTTATAATCTGTTTTGGGCTTTGAATATGAATGAGCCATATTTTAGAACTTACCCACAGTATAAAGAATAACACAGGTTCTCACAGTGCATTTAATAGGCATTTCAGTTATAATGTTTGATGTTGTGAATAAAGACATTTTAATGGGCCCTGGAATAACACCTTGAATTCAGTGAAGCCAATAATCAACCCTGCTCTATTACCTCCTTTTGTACACTGCATTGGTCAGTACAGCTCGATCCTACCTTCTTCCCCTTTTCTCAAAGTTTCCTTCTATTATCTCTCCCTTGTAAGGGTAGGTAAAAAAGGCATATTTATGTTTGAAAGATTTCCTGGTGTTTGAACCCCAGTTGTGAGAGGTGAAAAGGCCCAGAACTTTTGCTTCTATCATTAAGTACTTCAGTGAAACAGATATTTTACCTTTCTCTATCATGAGTAAGTGGTAAAACAACTATGTAACATTTTAAAAGAATATTAAATTTAGAAAGCTAAACTTGCTGATGAATTTATGATGAAAAAATAGTAAAAGGGGTAAGCAAGAAGAAAATATTTGAGTCTCTATGCACTGTAGTTATGCACACTTGTTTAGCAACCTTGAGGAAGATTGTACCATCCATAACCAAGACCCAGAAAACTTGTGCCAGATCAGTTAGCAATGATAGCACCTGATTTGTCAGACTCCAAAGAGTGTTTTTGTCATATCCCCAATCCTAATGATGGTGCTATACCACATGTAGCATGTGCCAGAATATCTATTGATTCATTGCCATTTTTTACTTACTCCTCTGATAACTTTGCCTATTCCAACCTTAAAACTTAAAGGCTTGGCATTTTTCTTCTTCTTTGAACCTGTAAAACAAATTTTCCTTATAATGCATGATGAAATTAAGTTCCAATGGAAAAACACTGATTTAAGTCTTTAATTTTAGAACTTACCATATTATGCATTTGAAAAGAAAAATTCAGAAAGGTAACTCATCAAGAAAATTCTGTACGTAAAAATAGTCTAAAAGGGGGGAGATAATATTTACACTACTAAAACAGCACTCCGTTCTGCTTTTTACATTAAATACGAAAACCTCAACTTTGGGACATTAACCAAGTTTAGACTAAGCTTATTTTTTGCTCCCCAATGACCAAGAGGTATTTATTCACCCAGCCAATAAATAGTGAACTGAAGACCTCTGAGTACAAGTAAATCACAGGTGCAAAAGACTTCTGGAAAAAAGTGACAGCCAAGAGAAAGGTACAGCCAACTGTTCATGTACCACACAAATATTATGTAATGCCTTAAAGCTAAAAAGATAAGATTACATTTAGACTTACTCGTTTGAATATTAGTATCAAAAACAGTCCCATCCTGTAGTGTTCCTGTATACCAGCAGTGAACAACATCTCCCTTTTTGGGAAAGTTGGTTTTATCTCCTTTTTTAAGAACAGATTTTATATATTTTGGTGGACCCTAAAGAACAAACAAAAACAACACACAGAGTTAGTAACTCACATCCTTCTTTTAGAAGGATGACAAAGAGAATTCTTACATAGCCACCAACTGTGACCCAAGTCGTCACAGAGTTCACAGATACGGTAACAAACCATTTTGCCTCTGGTTCACCTCTTGGTTTAAAAAAACTCACCATCTAATTGCAAGTCTGTGGTGAGAATATTAGTAAATAGCCTATCTATAATTTAATTTCAAATAACTTCCAGCAGTGCTCGTTTTGGCAGCACATATACTAAAATAACTTATAGCTACCTTGGAAACCAATGTTCTTTTGACAAAATTCTATTATTCCTATAAAGTCATAAGGCACTAAATAAAGCATTGTGACAGTTTTTTCAAAGATTTGAGTTGTTTAGCACCATACTTGACATTACTAAATTTAGAACGAATACAGTAATATTCCATTTGTTTCTGAACTTGAAAGTTCATATAATACACAATTATCAATAGAAATTACTGTAACAGACATATTTCCTAGAACAGAGCAGGATTATCAGGCTCTTTTTTAAAGAAAGGTAAAGGCTAATGAGTGGTGATTCATATATGTGAGAAAAGCAGTTTATTTTTTGCAGTACTTTAATACTGATAAAAGTATCAGTTTATTATTGATAAAAAAATATGTATGATAAATGTAAATGGATAGTAAGTTAAAAGAGAAAGACTAATTTGTGCCAGGCCTTTATTATTGCCTTACAATTACTAATGTCAAATGCTGCTCAAATAATTACTTGAGCTATTTTATCCTATGTAACAATTGTCACAGATTTTATAATGCCAAACAAAGCTCATTACAGACTGTGTTGTGTTCTGCCTCCCATAATACAGTCTTTGGTTCTCATCAGTATGATTATTATTTACACTATTTCAAATACTGTGATGCATTAAAGAAACTAATCTTTAAAAGTCAATGTATCAATATTAAGCCCTTTTATTTTTTTAAATGTTATAAAAATTATTTAATGCCAGTGTAATTAACATACAGTGTTATATTAGTTTCAGGTGCACAATAGTGATTCAATAATTCTATTTATTACTCAGCACTCATCAAGGTAAGTGTATTCTTAATCCTCTTCACCTACTTCACCCATCGTCCCCACCTACCTCCCTTCTGGGAGAAAAGCAATTTCTTAATCAAATTTGAGAACATATAGAATTTAAAAAAAAAGAATATATAGAATTTATACAGAAAACCTGAAAGATTCCAGCAAAAAACTGCTAGAACTGATAAATGAATTCAGCAAAGTCACAGGATACAAAATCAATGTACAGAAATCTGTTGCATTTCTATATACCAATAATGAAACATCAGAAAGAGATACTAAGAAAACAATCCCATTTACAGTTGCACCCAAAATAATAGGATACCTAGGAATAAACCTAACCAAACAGGTGAAAAGACCTTGCTCTGAAAAGCATAAAACATTGATAAAAAGAAACTGAAAGGATACAAAGAAAGGAAAAGACATTCCATGCTCATGGATTGGAAGAACAGATATTATTAGAATGTCTATACTGCTCAAAGCAATCTACATGTTTAATGCAATCCCTATCAAAATACCAAGATCATTTTCCACAGAGCTAGAATAAACAATCCTAAAATTTGTATGGAACCACAAAAGACTCCAAATAGCCAAAGCAACCTTGAAAAAGAAAAGCAAAGCTGGTGGCATCACAATTCTGGACATTAAGTTCCATTACAAAGCCACTGTGAACAAAACAGTATGGTACTGGCACAAAAACAGAAACACAGATCAAAAGAACAGAACAGAAAACCCAGAAATAAGCCCACAATTATATAGTCAATTAATCTTTGACAAAGCAGGAAAGAATATCCAATGGGAAAAAGTCTTCAACAAAAGATCTTGGGAAAACTGGGCAGCAACATGCAAAAGAGTGAAACTGGACCATTTTCATTCACCATACACAAAAATTCAAAATGGACTGAAGATTTAAATGTGAGACTTGAAACCATGAAAATCCTAGAAGAGAGCATAGGAAGTAAGGTCTCTAACATCGGCTGCAGCAACTTCATTCTAGATACATCTCTTGAGGCAAGGGAAATAAAAGCAAAAATAAACTGTTGGGACCACATCAAAATAAAAAGTTTCTGCAAAGGAAACAATCAACACAACTTAAAGGCAACCTATGGAATGGGAGAAGGTATCTGCAAATGACATAGCTGATAAAGAGTGTCCAAAATATATAAAGAACTTATACAACTCAACACCCAAAAAAAGAAAGAATCCCATTTAAAAATGGGCAGAAGACATGAATAGACATTTCTCCAAAGAAGACATCCAGATGGCCAACAGACACATGAAAAGATGCTCATTGGGACGCCTGGGTACCGCAGTTGGTTAAGCGTCTGCCTTCGGCTCAGGTCATGATCCCAGGATCCTGGGATCGAGTCCCACATAGGGCTCCTTGCAGCACGGAGTCTGCCTCTCCCTCTCCCTCTGCCTGTTGCTCCCCCTGCTTGTGCTCGTTTGCTCTGACAAAATTAATAAAATCTTAAAAAAAAAAGAAAAGGTGCTCATCACTTATCATCAGGGAAATGCAAATCAAAACTACAATGAGATATCACCTCACACCTGTCAGAATAGTTAAAATCAACAACACAGGGGTGCCTGGGTGGCTCAGTCGTTAAGTGTCTGCCTTTGGCTCAGATCATGATCCCAGGGTCCTAGGATCAAGCCCCGCATCAGGCACCCTGCTCGGCGGGAAGCCTGCTTCACCCTCTCCCACTCCCCCTGCTTGTGCTCCCTCTCTCGCTGTCTCTGTCAAATAAATAAATAAAACCTTAAAAAAAAAATCAACAACACAAGAAACAACAGGTGTTGGTGAGGCTGTGGAGAAAAGGGAACTCTCTCACAGTGTTGGTGGGAATGCAAACTGGGTGCAGCCACTGTGGAAAACAGTATGGAGGTTCCTCAAAAAGTTAAAAATAGCAATTGTACTACTGAGTATTTACTGAAAGAAGAACACTAATTCAAAGGGATACATGCACCCCTATGTTTATAGCAGCATTATTTACAAAAACCAAGATAAGGAAGCAGGCCAAGTGTCCACTAATTGATGAATGGATAAAGAAGATGTAGTATATATATACAATGGAATATTATTCAGCCATAAAAAAATGAATTCTTACCTTTGAAGTGACATGGATGGAGCTAGAGTATAATGCTAAGTGAAGTAAGTCAGAGAAAGACAAACACCATATAATTTCACTTATGTGGAATTTAAGAAACAAAGAAGCAAAAGGAAAAAAGTAAGAGGCAGACAGACAAGACAGACAAACCAAGAAACAGACTCTTAACTGTAGAGAACAAACTGATGTTACCAGAGGGGAGGTCGGTGGGGGGCAGGGGGGAAAAGGGTTAAACAGGTGATGGGATTTAAGAAGTCCACTTGTGGTGATGAGCACCAGGTGATATGTGGAAGTGCTGAATTACTATATTGTACACCTGAAATGAATACACTATTGTTAACTAATGTTAACTAATGAATTAAAATAAAAACTTAAAAAAAACTTAAAAAGTATAGAATTTTACATTACAAAACATTTAATAATGGGAAAAGAAAATAATAGACATTAAACATCTACTATTTGCCAGTTACGTAACACATACAATCCCCACTTACTGTAATCCTCTGAAGAAGGTATCACCTACTTGCATTTTTGCAGATGAAGAGACTGAGATTCAGGGAATTTGCAACAGAGCTGATGAGTAGCAGAGAATGAATATGGATTTGGGTTTGTCTGAATCCAAAGCCCCTGTTCCTTCCACTATGCCTAAATACTTCAAATAATTGTACTAATGATAGTTAACCTCTACTGGTATTTGTTAAAATAGTTGGCAACTACTGAGTACCCTCTATGTGTTGGGCACTATCCAAATGCTTTACATAAATTAACTCTTAATTGTTATTACCTTATGAATTAGGTACTATTATTCCTATTTTACAAAAAAGGAACTATAAGGATAGAGTGGTTAAGCAACTTGCTTACAGACCTACAGCTTCTAAGTGGCCGTAGGACTGGAAACCAGGAAGCCTGCATATAAGTCCCATGCTCTTTATCATATGGAATGTCAGGTATAACACAAATCATTTTATTTTTCTTATGTCAATTCATTTAACCTCACAGCAACCTGATAGTCTTTTTTCCATCTTTTACACCAGAAAGTAATGCCTTCATAGAATATAAAGCCATATTCAATTTAGAGCCTAAGAATTAGCACTTTCAACAAAAGCTAGGCTGCCTTTCTAAATCAAGTCACATCTACAGCATGAGTACCTGTATTAATTACAAAAGCAAACATTAACTTCCTTGCTGATGCTCCCATTCCAAGCTTGTTTTAATGAAAAATGCTACTATAAATGGTCAGGTGTCTACAAGCAGTGTAAACTGGTGCCATCTCTTTGGAATGCAATTTTAAAAGGTTAGAAGTGTGATAATAATAATACTATTCATACAAATATATGCTCAAGAAGTAATCTGAAAAGCGCCTGGATGGCTCAGACGGTTAAGCGTCTGACTTTGGCTCAGGTCATGATCCCAGGGTCCTGGGATCGAGTCCCGCATCAGGCTCCCTGCTCCTCCCAGGGAGCCTGCTTCTCCCTCTGCCCCTCACTCTCTGTCTCTCATGAATAAATAAATAAAATCTTTAAAAAAATAAAAGTAATCTGAAGCTTAGGAAAAAAAATCTTTGTGCAGTTATTCAATGCACTATTATCCATAGTGGTAAAATAACCACATGTTTATGGTAATCTAATACTCAGTATAATGTGCAAAAATTCTTATAAAGTGAAAAATCAATGGAAATTTCTAACTATAGTAGTACCTCAACTATTTAAATAAATATGCACTTAGAAAATATTCAAAGACAACATTCTGAAATGTTAAACATGTTCATTTCTAGGTGTTGGAATATTATGTATTTTCTGTACTTTTCTATTTGAAAAATAGCATACAAATATTTTTATATCAGAAAAATAAATGATATTTTAAAAATATGGTTGACTTACAAAATCTGGTAATATAAAATGAGAATGACTGTAAATTTTTTATGCAAAAATATTAGACTATCTTAAGACTTTATTAAAGAAATCACACATAACTATTTGAATGGATAAGGTACGATTAGTGAACAATAACCACATTTTAAATCTTAATATCATTTCATTGTTTTCCCATTTGTTGTCCCAAGTTGCTTGGGCATATTGTGTTATCTACATTAAATCTAGGTCCTAGAATAATGCAAAAAAAAACATTAAATTGGTGATTATGGCTCAGTCTTAATGGTGAAGGTGCCAGTCTGCCCAGGGAATAGCCTCCATTTCAGTGTTTCATAAAGTGTCTTTTACAGATCACTTATTCCTTAGCATTGTTAACATTGTTAGGGAAGAAAAGGGGTCTACCATAATTAAGTTTGGGAAACACTAGTTAAAGTTAAAGATGCCTCTATTCTGCATGACTTCTCAGAGTTGTCATCAGCTAACATGCACTGTGAATCTTCAAGGAAACAAAAAGTACAGGTTTTGATGATGCCAGAAAAGAACTTGGACCTTCTGGGACCTATATAACACACTTTGAGAAATGCCACTGTAGTTATTTGATCTGATTTTGGGTTTCACTGCAAGAACCTGTTCAGTTCATGGTGAGAAATGAGATCAGTCCCAAGGCTATAGCTGAGTTATGTGCTTGAATCGACCTGGCTTTTACATAATTTCTTGGCTCTGCAGCAATTTCTTAGTCGAGAGGGATGAAAAGAACTACATTCTTTTTTTTTTTTTTTAAGATTTTATTTATTTGACAGAGAGAAACACAGCGAGAGAAGGAGCACAAGCAGGGGGAGTGAGAGAGGGAGAAGCAGGCCTCCTGCCGAGCAGGGAGCCTGAGGCAGGGCTGGATACCAGGACGCTGGGATCATGACCTGAGCTGAAGGCAGATGCCCAATGACTGAGCCACCCAGGCACCCCGAAAAGAACTACATTCTTGAGACTGGATCTGAACTAGATACTTATAGACAGAGAGATAAAGGAACTTTGAGAGTAATCACTGCAATTTCAGTTAACTGGATCACATCATAGCCCCTAAAAATGAGTATGTTACATAATTATCCCTATTATTAATTCAAAAAATATTTGAGCATGTCCCATATGTTAGATACTGAAGATACATAGGGGAGGTGGTAGACATGGTCCTGACCCTCATGCCAGCAGAGAATAGAGTCATGTGTATAACTGTATGGGTTTATGAGACCTAAAGAGGAAGCACAAGTGCTAAGATAGGAATGACACAGCGACCTAACCCAGTATAGCTACAGGCTGGGAGAGGTTTCTTTGAGGTAGGCGACTGGGGGAAGGCTTATAACAGAGAATAGCATTTTTATAGCAGGGCACAGCATGAAAATAGTATAGTCTGTAAGGGAGAAGTGAAGGAGACAGTGGTATGAGATGAGGCTGGAAAGACATGTAGCACATGTTAGGAAACTTTTTTTTAATCTTCAGGTCACTGAATAGCCAATTAAGAGTTTTAAAGAGCAGTTACAGAATCAGATTTGCATTTTATTTTTATTTTATTTATTTTTCTAAAGATTTATTTATCTGAGAGAAAGAGCATGTGGTGGGGGCGGGGAGAATCTTAAGCAGGCTCTGCGCTGAGCGTGGAGCCCGATGCAGGGCTTGATCTCACGACCCTGAGATCACAACCTGAGCTGAAACCAAGAGCTGGACACTCAACTGACTGTGTCACCAGGTGCCCCTGAGAAAAGAAGTCTTTAAAAAAGGGATATACTTTAGGATTCTCATAAGATCCCTCTAGATTGTTCCAGCCCTTACACCCTTTTATTTGTAGCTCTCTTCTTCTTAACCTCTTAATGATATACAATCTGTTGTCTCATACCTCCTTTAATTGTTAATTTTCTGGAGGGTAAACTATTTTCCCAATAGCTTTTGCAATCCTTTTGTTATACCTTTATTTACCTTAGTAGCTGCTCAATATTTGCCCAGTATATATAACATTTATCAAATAATATTTGATGTGATAAACCTCAAAATTGCTTTATTGTGTGTACATATCCACAAACATTAATTTGTGCTTTTCAACCAACCAGAAAATATCATGTAAATTAACTAGCTTTAGTCAATATAAACTTCTATAATTCTACACTTGAACTTACACTCTGTCTACAAATATCCAAATGCTATACCTTCATCATTAGGTGAAACCTCTTTATAAGACCTAAAGAATATTTTATTAGATTATTATCACTGATACTAAGACTGCTAGGAATGAGTGAGCTTAATTAGCAAGGTATTATCAAAAGTGGCAAGATTATAATCAATGCAGCTCTATTGTGGCTGTTCTAACTGCTGTCCTTGGCTCTACTGAGGCTGTCCATTTGCAGAAATGGTTTTATCTGGTTCTTCAAACCTTTGTACCAAAATGTAAAACCTATGTTGGGAAAGATGAGACAGATGACTCCACACCCTGTAGCCAAGCCTGGACTATTTCTATTGCCAAGGATACCATGTACATTAGAAAAAGCTAAAAATAACCACAGTGAAATTTCTTTCACTCAGTCCAACTTGGCTATAGAATCAGGACCTTTAAATGGCTTTGGAAGCTCAGAAGTTCTGGTCAGACATAGAAGAAATACAAAATACAAAGCTAGAGGTATTTTATAGGAAAGGCTTATTAACTGTGAAGCACTGGTTCTTACATGTTTTTTTCCTGATTCAGTACACCTAAGGGAGATAACACACTCCAAATCAGTGTTTGGTTCACTCAAAGTAGCCATACTCAACCACCCCTTATGAAAAATCAGTGCTGTAAACAAATACTTTTCTCAAATTCACATGAGAAATAAAATAATATTATATACAAACCTCATCCAGAGTCTCTTCAGACTTGGTTTCTTTGGGTTTATCTTCATTAAGCTTCACATTTTTCACCTGCTCAGACACTTTACTTATACTTTCAGTACCCTTGAAACGCTGTAAGGAAAATGTTCTAATGTTTACCATATTCAGGATAGGCTAAAAGCTAGAAGGGACATCTAGATTTTCAACTTTTCAATTTAATGAACATCTACACTATGAAGGCTACATAACTCAAATACAAATTAATGGAAACTGTCTAAGAACAAAGGAAAAATCTTATGTTAAGCATTTTAATCAACAAATTATGAACCTCAAAGCATCTCACAACATAAATGCTGAAAAGGGATTTTTAGAAAGGACAACTGAGGGGCGACCAGGCGACTCAGTCAGTTGGGCGCCCGACTCTTGGTTTCAGCTTGGGTCATGATCTCGGGGTCATGGGATAGAGCCCTGTGTTGGGCTCCGAGCTCAAGGTGAGTCTGCTTGGGATTCTCTCCCTCTCCCTCTGTCCCTCCCCTCACTTGTGCTCTCTCTCGCTCTAAAATGAATAAATAAATCTTTAAACGGGGAAAAATACAGATTTAGAAAGGCCAACTCAGACTCAGATATGAATATAATTCACACACAACTCCTGGGGCACCTGGGTGGCTCAGTTAGTTGGGCCTCTGCCTTTGGTTCAGGTCCATGATCCCAGGGACCTGGGATCAAGTCCCATGTCAGGCTCCCTGCTCAGCAGGGGGTCTGCTTCTCCCTCTCCCTCTGCCCCTCCTCCCTTCTTGTGTTCTCTCTCTCTAATAAATAAATCTTTAAAAAAATATTCACACAATTCCTTAATAAAGACTCTTTGTTGTGGAAGATGGTCATAGTGAACAAATATTGGAGAATTTCTTAAAATTTGTTTTTCTAAAGGTTCAGCGTAAGTCTAACTAAGATTTTAAATTCATTAATGAAATGGAACTTACTTTGGATTTTTAACTTTTCAGTACCTTTATTTGTTTGTCTTAATTTAAGCTACAGGGAGTTATTATTATTTTTTAAAGATTTATTTATTTATTTTGTGAGAGAGAGAGTGTGAGCATGGGCATGTTCAAGTGTGGGGAGGGGCAGAAGGAAAGACTCTCAAGCGCAGACTATCCGATGAACAGGGAGCCCAATGCAGGGCTTGATCTCAGAACCCTGAGATCATGATCTGAGCCTAAATCAAGAGTCAGACACTCAAATGACTGTGCCTCTTAGGCATCCTGAGAATTATTTTTAAAAATTTGGTTCCTTTCAAAATATCTTAATATTCCACCATACTGCAGATTAGCTCTCCTAGATTTGGCAGTAGTCCATTTATGATTACAGTTAAGAAAAACTCCAGGTGGAAAAACTTAAACATATTCTGCAAATAAATTTAAAGCTTCTTTTTGTAAATAAAATATCTAAAAAATATTCTTGTAATAAGTGAAACAATACTCACTTTACTTTCAAAAAGATGGTTGTAGGCTGTAACCAAATGGTCCTTGTTAGCTGTCTTGGCCACATTTTTAATGTTTCCTAGTAACTTATGTTCTGCAAGAAACTATAAAGAAAAAAGCTGGTTAGTCAAAATAATCTCCCTCATGTAATAAGGGTCTAAACTTTAGAAAAATGACCTTTTATGTTAGTAATTATATCTTCAATAAAACTACTCATGATGGAAGAAATTAAACATATTTTATACCCTACTTCATAACAAAAAAAGATTAAAAGAATGTATTTATAAAAATTATTGACAAGATTGTAACTGTAATATTATGTGGGGGTCACACTGTTGCATACTAACACTTTTCCCGTTACAGAACTCACAGAACATTCATACAGCAAGCACATTTTGGTAACTGGATGATGCTGCTACTGGCAGGATGTTACTTGGCCATGGCCCTGGGAGTCTCCAACCATGTTGGGAATAGCTATCTTGACAAATCTGTAACCCATTCTTGGCAGCACTGTTATACAATGCTGGATATATGGTGGTTAAGTGTGTGGGCTGAGGAGTCAGATCATCTGTATTAAAATCCTAGCTACCTGATCTTAGACAAAGCACTAAGCTTTCCTAAATACTCAGTTTCTGTATCATAGTGGAAGATTAATAACAGCAACAATGTCAGAGGGTTGTTGTAAGGATAAATGCAATAGTCCATTTACTGTATTTAACATACAGTCTGTTGCATGGTGAGAACTCAATAAATATTAGCTAGTAGGGCCAATAACAATGTACTTAATAATTCAAAGTAACAGAATTCCATTTCTCTTAAAGTTGGCAAACTTAAACTAAGTTGGCAAATGGACACCAAAATAGTACTTCTGAAATATCGAGTTATCAAAATATAACTTCATCTCAAAATCATGTAATATAGGAATTTTAATAATGTCTTTGTTTTCCTTATTTTATCCTGCTTCCTTTTCTGCCTTCTGGTCCTTGATTCCTCATTTTTTTTACTTTCTCCAAGTTGTCCTCTGGCATTTTCTATCCTTTTGATAAAGGAGCTTTTCTAACACTACCACTACTGTATTTTTTTCTCCTCTGCTTTTCCTCTCCCCCAATTAGAGAAATGTTCTAAATGATAAAGGTTGATGGGGAAAAGTCATTTTGATTAAATGGAAGTAATCAGTTGCTTTTAGGATTCTTGTGATTTCTTTAGTAAGATTCCAAAAATAGCAAAAATATAAACATCTCCTTGATATCTTATGATCAATAAAACAGTGATTGTCAAATATAGGTTTAAGTATGTGACTGAATACTAGAGAATATGCACTTAAAAGATTAATCTATTAAAAAAATATTTTGATAATTCAAGTCCCTTGAAATTGTCCCAGGTGGGCCAGTTTTACATTAGATTTCACACTGGGATCATTTGTTCTATAAGAACTTGATGAAGTACAGTATTGAGGCATTAAATGTTAACAAACGACATGCCTAATTTATTCTATTGTTCCAGTTGAAAATACAAATTGACTTAAGAGAAAATAACTCCACTAAAATGGTATAAAATGGAATACCTGAGGCATAGTCTTTCTTTTACCCTGTATTCACAAACACTGAGCATAGTTCTTGCTACTGATGTTGTATAAATATTTGCTGGTATCAGGATACTTATTCTAGGTGTATGGAACTGGTTGTTAGAGAACTTATCTCCTCTTTAAGACATCTCAAAATGAAAATAAACTACAATCCTCACAGAAGAACCCAGAAAGAATTTTTCTAATGCATGTTTAGAACTTAAATGAAAAACTGTAGAGAAACCATACAGACTGCTGTTTCTATTTCCCGTAAGTGGGGGATGCAGAGTGCAGGAACTGTACAGTGGTTCATCAATTTAAGAGAAGCATGAATGATCTTAATTTCAGAAGGGAAAGAAGTCAAGTGTGACAAAAAACCAAACCAAAAAAAAAAAACAAAACAACAAACAAACCAAACACTTGTGACCAGAGTCGGGTGGTTAAGATGGAGACTATATTGAAAAATGCAGGGCGTACAGGATAAAGAATGCCAAAAACATTTCTTAGTTTGTGTCTAAGAATGGGAGATACTGTACACGAAATGCGCAAGGAACTACCCTCAGTATAAAGGTGAAAATGTCATGTAAAGAGTCAATATTTTGAAAAGTTAAACCGCAATCTACGGATTTTCAAAAATTACAAGCATTAGTGTTCAGTATTTAGTAATCGATGAGAAAAGCGAAAAGCACATACCGTTCCCACAAAAATCTTCACAATCCTTCCCATTTCTCTAATGGCCTACTCTCCTCTGCAGGGGTCTCACCCAGGTCCCCCCCCAGTGCTCGGACACCCGTCCCAACCCGCGTATCTCCTGGGTTCTTTTTTTTCATGGCTTCCACCCTCACTCAAGGATCCCAGTGAGGTTTTAATTATGCGATTGCTGCCTGCCTGCCTGGCCCAAGAAATAAAGCCGATCCCCTCCCCCCACCAAAACTGGGCAGCCCAAAAGGGCGGGAGCACGGCTCCCCGGCGCACGCGAGGCCTCTCCGGCCTTCCAGGCCACCGGCCGCGCGACGACGAGGGCGGGGGCACGGAGGAATACGGAATGTACGGGCATCTCGGGGGGTGAGGCGTCCCTCTGCCGCACCAGCCCGGCCGCCCCGCCGCCTCTGGTACCGAATCTGAACCGTGGTCCTGTAGAAACTTGATAATGTCCTTCTTGGGTAGCTGCTCGCTGCGCAGCTGCTCCACGGTCCAGGCCCGCTGTGGTACGGCCGCCGCCATCTTCCCCCGCTGCCTCTGCTTTACTGAGCCAGCCCGCCTCGGTTCAGCATCGCCACGCCCTTGGGGCGTGGCGTGGGCCCCGCCTGGAGCTCAAGGGGGCGGGGTCACGGCACTACGCTGCGGGATTGGGGCCCGTCTTTGAGTGACGTCGAGGCTGTGCTTTGAAGGCCTCGGTTGATTTCGGGTGTAATCCGGCTGATGTAGTCATTGCAGCGCACTAGCAGATGACTTGAAACTGTCATCCGCTCTTATTGGAACCCTTGTGAGGCAACCACTGTTGCCACTGTACCAGCCATTACCTACATTTGTGTGTGACCGATGGGCTGCTATGTCTTTAAAGCCCGTATATAACCTGCTTAAAGAAAACAACAGCATTCAGACTTCTAATCACGTTTTATCTAGTTCTAGCCTAAAAGTTCACACCTGAATAGGTTCAGTCCTTCCCATCGGAACAACCCATACTCACCATCTCCCTTTTAAAACTCACACAAGTGAAATTAAAATACAACTCTTCCCTTCCCCACCCAATAAATAAAAACACAGGAGAAAGTTTGTTTAAAAGCAAGGTCAAGAAACTTGACCGGGGGCGCCTGGGTGGCTCAGTCGTTAGGCCTCTGGGCTCGGGACATGATCCCAGTGTCCTGGGATCGAGCCCCGCATTGGGCTCAAGGCTCAGCGGGAAGCCTTCTTCTTCTCCCACTCCCCATGCTTGTGTTCCCTCTCTCACTGTCTCTGTCAAATAAATAAATAAAATCTTAAAAAAAAACTTGACCAAATAAAATGATATAAAGAAGATACACGCAGGATGATGCTTGCGGATGATATTGATATTACTAATGTTCAAAACAACCTCATGATGTGTACCTCGTGTGTAATATGAGGAAGCAAATTTACAGAGGTGACTCCAAGTTACCAAGGTTTAGAGTGGGGAAGCCGGGAATTGTATCCAAGCTAGAAAGCTATCGCTAGAATAGAATAATACCACACCAAAGCGTACTGCTCTATATAATTTATGAAGATGTAATGGTGGAGTTTCAGGAAAGCCTTACTTTTTTTCTTTCGGATTTTCCGACGAACACGGGACCAAATCATTCACTTCGCTCTTAACAATAAAAATAGTAAGATAATGGGCTGTCTTTCCAAATACTGTGAAAAAGAGACCGGGCATTTTTTTCCCCCTCAACTTGTGTAAAGAAATAAGACAAGATACTTAATTCGACCTAACACTTTTGTTTTTCACCTCTTTTTCCGATTTAAAAATAAACCAATAAAGAATAAGAACTGTTCGCTCAATAACGTTAAATTCACAAAAATATGGGTATCCGTTGTCCCTAGGATCTCAAGTTATTTATTTTTTTATCAGTTTAATCAATAGCACTGTAGCAATTAGGCCCGGACAACACAGTCACTGGGAACGGAACTTATATTTAGAGTCTATGAAGAAACTGAACCGCGGACCAAATTTAGACAAACGCCATAACAATGCGCATGCGTCTCCGGGAGGCCGCAAGGGTTTCCGGGAAGCCAGCCAATCATATTTCCGACGCAAACTCAGTGGCGGCATTTTCAACTAGATGAACAGGCTGCAGTCCCGCCTTCACGTTCCGCTGTTTTGTGCGAAGGTAACCGATGGGTATCCGAATGGTGGCGGTTGAGCTGTTGGAACTGCTAGCGTCTGAGAGAAACCTTTGGTGGTCGTCAGCCTAATGAGCGGACGGCAAAGAACGCTTTTCCAGACGTGGGGCTCAAGCATTTCTCGATCCGTGGGAGCTCCGGGTTGCAACTCTGGACCTGAGCGGCCTCAGAGCCCTGGCATCTCCAGGGCACATTTTCCTCCAGCTGCAGAGGCTGCCGAGGCTCAGCCGGAGTCGGACGATGATGTATTGCTGGTTGCAGTGTATGAGGCAGAGCGGCAGCTGAGTTTAGAGAATGGCGGTTTCTGCACTTCAGCGGGCTCCCTGTGGATTTACCCTACCAATTGCCCAGTGCGGGATTACCAGCTGCACATGGCCCGGACCTCTCTGTTCTGCAATACGCTGGTGTGTCTGCCTACTGGGCTGGGAAAGACCTTTATTGCCGCTGTGGTCATGTACAATTTCTACCGGTGGTTCCCTTCCGGCAAGGTGGTCTTCATGGCCCCCACGAAACCTTTAGTGACGCAGCAGATCGAGGCTTGCTACCGAGTGATGGGTATTCCGCAGTCCCACATGGCCGAAATGACAGGTATTTTAGGAAATGGGCTAGTTTGAAATTAAGAGCAGGGTGCTCGGGAAAGCATGCATTCTGGTGGAGATTGAGCTAAAAGAATTCCTGAATAGTCCCCGGATCACAGTATCCGTATTTTACATCCTCTCCCTTAAAGTATTATCTACTTGTAGCAAGTCTGGCCCTCACAAAAAGGGTTGCTTTCCTCAATTTTCAGAGACTCCGTAATTTGTCGGAGCATTTTGAAGCGATTTGTGTGTATATCCCATCAGAAGTGAACGAACAGGAGGTTTTCTGACTTTCTTCCCCAGAAAGATCTCCCAGTTGAAGAATTTACTTTTCTCCAGATATTATGCCATTTTGTAGGAATTCTCTAAAGACAGTCTAGTTGTGTCTCAGCATTGACATTTGGATCACAACAGAGCTTTAAAATGTAACATTTCAGTGATTTGTTAAATTGGTCTTGTCTGAAGGCACATTACCAAAGCAGGACTGCATTCTGAAATTAGGCCAGGTTATTTATAGATGTTTTAAAGATAACAACCCTGGTATTTAGAATATAGGATGTCACTTTTGTTTACAGGATCTACTCAAGCTATCACCAGGATGGAAATATGGCGCAGTAAGAGAGTACTTTTTCTTACACCTCAAGTCATGGTAAATGATCTTTCTAGAGGAGCTTGTCCTGCTGCTGAAATAAAGTGTCTAGTTATTGATGAAGCTCATAAAGCTCTTGGAAACTATGCTTATTGCCAGGTAATATTTCGTTTAAAAGTATTTTGTACTGTGAACATATTGTTAAAGAGTGTTTTGGTGAATACTTATTAATGATGGAAGTTATTGTGTTATCATTATGAAAAAACCACATTATTTCAATGAAGGAAATACTTCATTCAAATCAGTGTCTATCTTTTTTTTTTAAATCCCTAACACTATTAGTGTCAGGTGTAGATGATGAAAGCCTGGTCATGGTTGAGGCAGTGATTTAAAATAGGGTATGGGTGGAATTTTGGAACAAAGATAATAATCCAAAGATTGGCTGATCCTTAGACTTCAGAACTCTCTTCCAACATGGCCCAAGACAACTCTCCAAACAAGACCATAACAATGAATCAGAGACGCAGCCGCACCAAATTCACAGAAGATCAATTGAAAATCCTCATCAAGGCATTTGACCAAAATCCTTACCCAGGTTATGCTACCAAAGACTTGCTTTAGAAATCAACACTGGTGAGTCCAGAATCCAGATTTGGTTTCAGAATCAAAGAGCTAGGCACCAGTGCCAGAAAAAATCAGAACCTGATGAGGACTTAGAATCAAGTCAAGACCAAGATCACTCTGAAGAGGAGATTCAAAGTAGAGAAGACAGACGGTGTCATACCAGCTATACTTCTTCACAATTACACACCCTTATGGGGGCATTTATGAACAACCCTTATCCTGGCATTGATACCAGAGAGCAACTTGCTAAAGAAATTGGCATTCCAGAGTCAAGAGTCCAAATTTGGTTTCAAAATCGGAGATCCAGATTCCATGTCCAGGGAAAAAGGGAACCTGATGATCAGGACTCAGAACAGAGACAAGACCAGGAACGGGATCTCTGGGATGAGAGAGTTCAAGAGAGAGAGAGGGAGAGTGCACAAAGGGAGCGGCAGACAGAGGGAAAAGTAGACTCCCTGCTGACCAAGGAGCCCGACGCGGGACTCAATCCCAGGACCCTGGGATCATGACCTGAGCCAAAGGCAGACGCTTAACGACAGCCACCTAGGTGCTCCTATATTTGACGTTTCTAAGTGACCTATTCCTTGACTTGCTTGTTTTATAAATAATCTTAAGTGACTTTCTGGAGACCCCCTCAGGGGCTGCATTCTTTAGGCAGTATTTTCTTTAATAATTAAGTGTAATTGTAATAAAATAAATAGAACATAAAATGTACTATCACAACCAAAAAAAAAAATAATAATCCAAAGACTGGTAGTGGATATGCAGTGTCATTCCTTGGCAGTTAGGTAAAATCATACTTAACTGTCAAGAGTTGTTACCAAGATTGAATGACATAATGTATGCAACATACCTAACACAATGCCTTCTAGTTACTTATGTACTACATAAATATAAAGTAGAAAGGTGAAGAGGTGGGATATGGCTGGAGAGATACTTAAAGTCCAGGTCATGAAGGCATTTGTATATTAGGCTTAGCAGTTTGAATGCTCTTTGTAGGATATAGGGGATATAGGTGGTAGAGACTCATTTAAAAATGTTTACCTGGGGTGATACTTAAGATTTAAAAGAGATTAAAAGAGTAGAAGGCTAAAGGCAGGGTGTACAGTGAGGGAGAGGGAGAGGAGGTATTTAGGATGACTCCCAGATTTCTGACTTAGAAGACTGTGAGGAGGTTGGTGCTCTAGTCAAAACAGAGAGTTCTGGAGGCACAGAAGATTTGGGGTATTGCGGAAAGATAATGAGTGTAGCTTTAGATTGTTGAGTTTGAAGTGTCCATGAGGAATCTAGCTATAGATACCCAGTGGGCAGTGGGGGATAGAAGTATGAATCTCAATGGAGAGTTCTGAGCTGGAATACAGATTTGGAAATCATCAACATATAGGTGGTACATAGGTAAAACTATAAGCTGGTGATATCAGGGAAAGGGTATAGAGTAAGAATAGAAGAGAAAGTTGATTTTATTTAGTGCAAAGAGGTGAATTTTACTGCCAGTTTGTGAATTTATAGTTTCCCTGGTTAAGGAACTTAAGTTTAAGTTAAGTTTATCATATTATATCTCTGTGTTATCTTCTGGAGAATTGTTATCTTTCTTAGAATTGATTTTAGGCAAGAAAT